TGGCAGTGTTCAGTGGGTATTCCTGGTTCTGCACTCGGGGGGACCCCTGGTGCTATTCAGGTAACCAGAAGCGGTGCTGTGGATTCAGCATCTTTAACACCTGTCGTATCTCCCCAGCCCTAAATTTTCAATTTTGATATCAATTTACATGGTTTACTTTTTCAATCAAAGCAAGCTAGGAAAACTGCTTCTTGGTGCTATTAAGGTGAGTAAGCTTGTTTTGGTCATCTTGCTGATACTAATTGCTGGCATTTTTCTGTGATGGGGCAGGGTTTCTTTGTCTGGAAAACTGCAAAACCACAGAGCCTTTAGCCAGCCTACCTGTCCGTGGTTTTCACGGTACATAAATTGGAGCGGGCACAGCTGTCAAGTCAGAGAAGAGATTTGGGGGGAGATTTGGTGGCGACTGTTTCATAGAGAAGTGGCACTTTTTCTCCCTCTGGTGGACAGTCTTATCTTTACAGTGTGAGTGCTTTCTCAGTTGAGACTGTCACCCAGACCCCAGGAAAGTGGGAGTAGCTCAGTAGCAGAGCACTGGCTGTGCATGTGTGAGGGGCTTGATGGCTCACAGCAATGCTCAAACCTCTCCCCAGACCAATCCAGACATGGGACCCCAGGAGCACTATTTAAGGGGAACCAGGGACTTGGGCCACACCCAGCTGCACTTTGGAACTACTCCTGGTTCTGTACTCAGGAGTGACCCTGATGATGCTTGGGGGACCATTATGTGGTCCAGGGGATCATAACTGGGTAGCGCTTTAACTCCTGTGCTCTCTAGTCCTAAAACTGTATTTTTGTTTTGGAGGAGGCCACACTCAGTGATGCTCTGACCAGAGGTTGCTCCTGGCAAGGCTTAGGGGACCATATGTGGTTGCCAGGGGTTGAAGCCAGTGCTGCCATGCGCAAGGCATGTGCCCTATTCACATACCCTCACTCTGGCCCCTGAAATTATGTTCTTGAACCACACCCTGCTAGACCACACACTTTGCATCTCAGGACTAGCAGCCTATAACTAAACTGGTGTGTCAGCTGTACAGAAATTATTTTCTCTGAATTTAGAACCCACGTAGAATTCAATCACACTGACTCAGTACTATGAGGCCATCAAAGATAAACTAAGCCAGGCATCAACTAAAAAGGTGAGAACAGAATTAATTCTCGAAGAGGAGCCCTATCTTTCCTGATGGTGACATTTCAAAGGAATAACTTCCAGGTCCTTGATATTCCTGAGTGGTGGGATATACATACATCTCAAAGGGACCAAGAAAGGAGGCACAATTTTGAGTCCTTTTCAATAAACTACTCGAAGAAAGTGCAATCAGGAGACTAGAGTGATGTACAGGTATTAAGGCACTCTTCTTGCATGTGGCTAACGCTGGTTTCATCCTTGTCACTGCATATCGTCTCCTGAGCACTGTCAAGTGGTCCTTGAGCACAGAGCCAGTAGTAAGCCTTTACCCTCCACAACAGAGGAGAGAGAGAGAGAGAGAGAGAGAGAGAGAGAGAGAGAGAGAGAGAGAGAGAAACAGAGGGACAGACAGACAGAGGGACAGACGGACAGAGAGGCTCATGGTTAGGAACTAGCCTTGCTAAAATAGCAAATTCTTTAGACAGCTGGATTTTTTCCACAAAAGAAAGGGAATCAATGATGTTGGAGAGACAGTATAGTGGGTACTTGCCTTGCACAAGACCGTCCTGGGTTTGAACCCATATGGTCTCCTGAGCACAGCTAGGAGTAACTCCTGAGTAGAGAGCCAGGAGTAAAGCCCTGAGTACCACTGGATGTGACCAAAACCCCAAAACCAAACCAAGCAAAAAGGCTAAGCCAGCATTTGGTAAGCCTTCTCTTAACTGCCTGGGTTTGAGTGGAGTGTTCCTGTTAGGACTTTGCAGTGCTCAGGGGACCATGTGGTGCCAAAGATTGCATCTGGGCTTTCCACATGCAAAGCATGTGCTTAATCCTTTCTATCCCTTTGGTATACAAAGGTGAAACAGAAGAAAAAACCATTTAGAATGGAACATCAAAGGGCTCAGCCTTTTAGCTAACTAGTCATTAGAGCAGGCTAGCTCAAGCCTCAGATTCAGGAAAAGAAAATGAAGAGGCCCATTTATAGGTTTGGGCTACTCATCCTGGAAGAAGTTCTGAAGCTAAAATTTCCTTAATGAGCTCCATGCAACAGACTCAGATTCCATCCCTGGCAACACATATGGTCACTCAAGCCGGGCCAGGAGTAATCCTGAGCTCAGAACCAAGAGTAAGTCCCACACCCAGTGGTGTAGCCCAGAAACCAAACCCAACCCCAAATCAAATAAACCAGTAACATTTTGGTTGAGTGCCCAGTCGGTCATTCTTTGGAACTTGACTGAGAAAGGCAATATTTTATCATTTATTGTTATTTATATATATATATATATATATATATATATATATATATATTTTGCTTTTTGGGTCACATCTGGCAATGCTCAGGGGTTACTCCTGGCTCCACACTCAGGAATTACTCCTGGCGGTGCTCAGGGGACCACATGGGATGCTGGGAATCGAACCCAGGTCTACCACGTGCAAGGCAAATGCCCTACCCGCTGTGCTATTGCTCCAGCCCCAAAAGATAGCATTTTTAATTCTGCTTTCTTTCTCATAGGAGAGTGCCCTTGCTGCTTGCTGGCTTCACTGCCCCATCATGGCAATGGCAGCAGCAGGGATGATGGTAAACAGACTCATTAGTCACATGCTGTTTGGCTTCTTTCTGCTTCTAGGGAGACGGGCAGGTAGAAGGTGAAGGACACTGTGGCCAGGTGGTAGAGGTCGACCCAGACACATCCCCTTCATTGTTCTTCCTTCTGGCTGACCTGAGAGCCCCGGTCAGTGAGAACATGTGGACAGAACTTTGGCTTCACGGCACAATCGGTACAAGTGAGACACACAGGCTGGTTTAACATGCCCGTCAGTGACAATATTCTCCAAAATTTCTTGCTAGTTGTCTTTGTTGTATTTATTTTGGTTTGTGGACCACACTCAGCAGTGCCCAGAGGTCACTCTCACTTGTGTTGGATCTAACTGGGGTCCACAAGATCCAAGTGCCTTAATCCTTCTCTGGCCCACAAACCTGGTATACATTTGCGCGGGGGGGGGGGGGGCGGGGGGGTAGAGGAAGAATCTTCCATGCAGGGCTAAAGGGGGCCTGGGGTGCTGGGGATCAAACCTGGGTTGACCACATGCAAAGCAAATGCCCTACCCGCTGCAGTATCGCTCTGGTCCCTGGACTTAGAATTTTCATTGTGAAAAGGGCGTTGACTATTAGTTCATTTCCTTTTGGGGGATCATACCTGGTAGTGCTGGGGTCCCACTCCAGGACTCCCTCTTTCATGTACTCCAGTCCTTTGAGTCATCTCTCCTTATTCATGTAACTCATCTAACTTACTGTTTTTTTATTTAGTGACTCGCGCAAAGACAAAGGAGACAAAGGCTGCCCCCTTCTGCGAGAGGCCAGATTCCTTACCGCACGGTGCACACAGCAGTTGCTTCAGAGAAGCTCACGAAGTAGTTGTGAGATGTCTTAACGGTGGCAAAGGACTTCAGAGTGGAAACAGGAGGCAGATTGGTGAATCCAAGATGACTAGTGTTTGGGGATGCATTGCCACACCCAGCAGTGCTTAGGAGCAACCCTTAGCAGTGCTCACGAAACTGGGTGTGGTACTGAGGAATTGAACCAGGGTCTGTGGGATAAAAGGCCAGTGCCTTAATCCATCCTATTTCTCCAGCCCTGTAGAGGGTCAGATAAACTGCAACAATCACATTCCCTTGCCCCCACCAAGAGTCTTCATGCAGTCTTCATGCAGATGCAGGAACACACACACACTTTCTTCCTGCCCAGGGTCATTTTGATATTTACATCCTTCTTGGACCACACAGTTGAGGCAGATGGGTTGAGGGCAAGCAAGCATGTGCATCTGCCATGACGTAACCCAGCAGCACCCGACCACATGACTTCACAGGTCTTACATCTGGAGGCTGCACCTTATCTGGGTGATGAAGTTGCTCAGTGCAGGGGATGGAAGGAACAAGTTATAGTAGTGAATCTAATCGTATTCTAGATGGCCAAGAAAACAACCGCCAAGAAACACCACGCAAATGTGGTTGCCTCTGAGTGATGAGCTCAAGAGGTGAATCCGACTTTTTCACATTCCTTTTTGGAATTTCTTAAAGGATTCCCAACAGGAAGGAGGGGAGAGGGAGGGCACCTGTCTGCACATAGAGCTGCTTCCCTGGCCCCTGCTGCAAACTGCAGTGGCTTGGGGGGAGCCTGTAGCCTGGCCACCCCACTCTGTCCACATGGGCAGAGGTGGTGAGATTCAGGTAACTCTGCATGTGAAAAAGGTACAAAATTGCGCACAAATGGAAAAAGCTTCTATTTCGTCTCACAAGCACACAAACTAGTAGCTATTATTACAGGAAATTCACATGGAACAATGAAATCTAGCACTGTCCTCCCATTGTCCATCTATTTGCTCGAGTAGGCACCAGTAACGTCTCCATTGTGAGACTTGTTATTGTTTTTGGCATATCAAGTACACCACGGGGAGCTTGCCAGGCTCTGCCGTGCGGGCGGGATAGTCTCGGTAACTTGCTGGGCTCTCTGAGAGGGGCGGAAGAATTGAACCCGGGTTGGCCTCGTGCAAGGCAAACGCCCTACCCACTGTGCTATTACTCCAGCCCCATGAAATCTAGAATTTATTTCATTTCTGGTGGTGGTGCCAGTAACCAAACCCAGGGCCCTCGCACATGCAAGTCCTCCACCACTTTCCTGACCCAAAGTGATCTACTCAGGGCATGGACCTGACCCAGCTGTTCAGCCCACTGTCACCCTTACCCAGATGAATTCAAAACAAAATTCAAGAGTCACTGCTTCCTGCAGCAGGAGCAACTGGGCCAACGATGAGAGGCAGGCTGAGAATCGTCGGTCGTGGGAACGGTACAAATAACACAAGAGCAGACCGCAGAGGTTAAATTCAGGTGATTTATTGTAAACAGGGTTACCCTAGCACTCCACCACACTGGCTGTGTCACATGCTCTGTCTTCCACATCAACTAGCGAAAGACTTCTTTGAAAAAGTCCCAGGTAACTAATAATTTAATTTGTTTCTCAAATCTCCTTGACTACGCTGTTGAGTATTGGGGAGGGGGTTCTGTTATTGCTCAAGGACTGCAGCTTGGACCCATTGACATGAATCCGTTAGTTTGCCTGAGTGATCCAACAGCTGCTCTGACTCCAATTTGGAAGCTGCAAAGCTGGGGGACACTGAGAAGCCACGCGGGTTCCTGCAAGACTACCTGGGATTCCTGTCCGAATTTCGTCATGTGACTTTTTCATCAAAGTGACACTGCTAAATTTCATCCAATTTTTTAAAAAGAGCCCAGTTATTCAGGAGCACATAATTTTTCACAGAAAAGATAGGTGGACTATTGACTCTTACAGAGGCAGACTCAAAACACTCAGGACTAAGGTTGGATCCCACTTGTATATATTTGCTGTTTGATGAAACGCTGCATAGTCGACAAATGCATAAAACCAGAAGGAAGCGATGACTCACACGTCTTCTGGTGGACCGAGATAGGCTTCTGACAAGAAGCTTCGGAAGGTAGGGGATAAAAAGACGGTTACAGCACCACATTGATCTGACAACAGAAATGGAGCCCCACTTTGGAAAGCAGCCTCCATGGTAAATTATATCATTCTTGCCCCAAATTTAGATTATTTGGAAGATGGCAAATACGAAAACTTAAGATGTGAAAAGACATGACTACAGAAAGAAGTCCTGGCAAATCAAGTCATGTGGAGGTAAATGTCATTTGAAAATGCCATTTCTTGACTGCCTGAGTTAGTGGACAACAGGCCATTACTATTATGAGTGCCTGTACGTGGAAGTATACTAACAATTTCTCTTAAAGCAGCAACAGTAAATATTCCAAAACAGCTGTTAAATCTATAGTATTTAATCTAAAATAGTATCTCATGAAAAAAATATTGTTTAAAAGTCTATTCCAGTCATCATCTGTTTTGTATGTTTATATTTATATATATTCAAAAACAACTTAACACTTAAGGCAAGATTAGACTGGTAGCAAAAGGGATTTAAGAGTCTTACAGAGATCAGACTATTAAAGAACCCAAGGCTTTATTTTTTTTATACCTCAAAAAAAAATAGTGGCTTTGTACTGGTTGCCTTTTAAATTCTCAATGGGGCAAATATTTTGAATACAATTCCATATTCTGAGAGCAATTTTATGGCAGTAAAGGTTACAGATGTTTAGAAGAGCTGATGTTGGAAAAGCATGTCACACACTCAGTGGGGTCTGAAGCTGACCCTATATATACTTGTTAAATAAATACAGTAAGATGATGATGGGAACAAGGAACTGATGGGAACACTGCAAACCAACTATGAACAAGAATGTCAATAGAGAATTCAATCCGAAAGAAAAAAGGTTACAATAATCCTGAGAAATTCGGTTTGGGACAAAATTGATGTAAGGTGTAAGTCTGTATTTCTACCACTGTAAATAAGTAGGGTGTTCGAAGATTTTCCAGCATTGTAATAGTTTAAAAAATGTTCCAATTTTATAAAAAGATTAAAACCATGCCTTATATAATCAGCAATTTCACTAACAAAAGACAGTTACATTGCTTTGTTCATTATCTGCCAGATGTAACATTCTCCACTGATTTACATGAAACCACCAAGTAGAAGGCAAATTTGAGGATCAATTTTGAACAAAGGGATGATCTTTCTAAATGTTTTGAAGTCTTCTCTGTCAGCCTAGGAGGCATTTAGAAAAGAGTGAACATATTACCTTCTGACAAGTGGACTATTTTACAGAACAGGGGAGGAAGGTTCTACAGGAACATCATTCATCATTTTAAGTGTTGTTATATAAGGAAAATTTCTTCTCATAATGAAAAGAAAAATTTTAAATATTTAAGCCATGTATTGTAAAAAATATTTTACATCTCTAAGATTTTGTGATTTTATTGTTGGAATTTTAATACTTCTACACACTGACACCTGACAACTTTTTCTGTTTTTATCTCTAACAGCGAACCAGAAGCTATTAACGTAGCCAAGATTTCTTTTCCTCACGCCTGGAAGACTAAGAATGCATCCTCTTGCACTTTCCCACCCGAGGGGCCTCTTCAGAGCTTCGCAGCCATGAAGTTGATATGTGGCTTGACAAGGGGAAACAGTGGCAAACCACGCTTGAACTCGGTCATGTTCTGAATCACTTCAGGCTGCAAAAGAGAACAACAAAACTTTGAGCATGTTTGGCGAGGAGCAGACCGAATGGGACAGCATCCTTCCCTGACAACTAGGTCTCTGCCTGATACCTACTATGGCCTGCTGACTTGTCTCAGTGGACCAGAGTCAGAGAATTCATGTGAATAAACCTATTGTGAGTGTTCCCCGTGCGACTTGAGGCTGGAAGGGAGATTCTGTGCTTTCCTCTGGCCACATAAAAACTAACCCAGCCCCAAGGTTGCAGAGAAGCAGAGGCTAGTGTGCGCCCACCTCTCTCACCAAAAGGCCCGGGGGATCTGCCAATTCTGCCCTCCTAGAAATAGCTGCCAGGTTTTCCAGAGAATGAAGACTCAGGGACTGGGGGAGGAGCCGGAGGTGACCCATGGCTTGAGAGGCTGAGTCTCAATAGCCCTGGGAGCTGTAGGAAATGGGCCTGTCCCTAAGGGAGAGCCTTGACCTCCTGGTAACCTTGAATCTCTAGGTCTCCTGTGTGCCCTGGTGAATAAGCACCTTCTGTGTGAGAAAGTTCTTGAACAATGCAGCCTGCATAATATTTACGGTTCTTACTTGTGGCAAGGATGGAGCCTGGGACAGATTTATGTCATTCTGACATGGGAACTCTCCAACCACAGGACCTGTAAGAAAACAGAAGGTTTAATGCTTTCAAAGGATTGGTACCAGAAATCAGTGCATCATTCCTTTGGGGGTCGGTGGGGGGTGGTCAATCTGAGCTATATCCGGTGCCAGGGATCAAATCCACAATAAGCCATACAGAGGGCAAGCACTTTACCGCCTGGACCATCTCTCCGGCCCCTTCAGGGAAATTTTCAAAAAGCTGAGGGCTGGGAACATGGCTCAAGTGTACAGCACTCTGGAGGTGAAGAGGGTTTGATCCCCGGCACCGTGTGACCACACCACACCTCACACTGCCAGGAGAGACCCTGGCGCCCCGAGCACCACCAGTATGCTACCTTCCACTAACAGATGCCAACAATGATTATTTCCACTCCCCACCCCCCACCCTAGGGGGTGGTCAGGGACTACTCTTGGCGGTGCTAGAGGACTGTGTGATGATGTCACTCTTGCAAGCAAAGCCTGTCTCCGGCCTGCTGAGCTCCCTCTAGTCCAAACACCTGTTCTCACTTCCACTTTATTTACTGGGGATGGAAGCCGGGTCCCTTGCATGTCACACAGATATTCTGCCTGGGAGTTCTCTTGGGCAGTCTATGACCTCAATCGCTTTCCACTCTCTTTCCAGCCCATAACCATAATTTTGTGCCTCAAATATGAGCCCCAGCAAACATAGGTGAGTCCCAGCAAAAATGTGAGCCCCCACAACCTCCTGGACAACCTCTGCTGACCACCTGTCACTGCAACAATGGCATCAATAACAAGGGGAGGGGGCGGAGCCATGGTACAGTGGCTAGGGAATTTGCTTTGCTGATCCCCGGCATCCCACATGCTCCCCTCAGCACTGCCAGGAGTTATTCCTGAGTGCAGAGGCAGAAATGCAGAGCCAGGAGTTTAGCTGGGTATGAGCCAAAAAGCCAAAAACGAAACAAAACCATACACCCAAAAAACAAGGGGAGAGGGAGTGAAGAGGACATAAAGATTGAAAACGGAGTATGTAAAATTTTTACAAGTCAATTAAAAAATACTTACAAGAGTCCATTTCCCTGGCAAGAACATGAACGGAAACCTTATGTCTCCTGGGGGCATCGACCGCCAACATTTCCTAAGTGGAAGGAAGAGCATGGTTATCCTTTTGGCCACTAAGAGCTGAAGCTGAGGCGCTTGCTCTCTCAGGATGCCATCACCAGCAGCCGCCAGGCGGGCCCACGCAGGAAACAAGGTTGCCCTCACTCCCCCCGCCACACTGTCCGAGGAAGCAGGGAGGCAGAGATGACTCTACCCGGCTCTGCTAATGAGCCAGCAGCCCCAAGGAGAGTAAGGGATCCTGCTCAAATGCTGCGGCTCCTCCGGGGGTGACACGGGGCTGCACTCCGGGTGTCGGCGACCTAAAGGCCAGGGACAGCCACAATGCCTGCATTTCTGAGAACCAGGTTCTGCATGGGGGAGCTGGGGTCGCTCAGTGGGGCATCCTGCTTGGGGCCAGGCGTGCCAGGTTCTCTGTAGGGAGAGCATTTCGGCTTCCACTCGGCCACTTGGCCAGTCTGCCCCATCTCCACTCCCCCAGCTGCTGTGAGGGCTGCCCTGGGGCGACTACTGTGACAACCAGGGCTGCCCGGAGTGGATCCACCTTCAGGGAAAGTGTCTCCTGGCCTTTCACTTTCGCTGGGGCTTCATCTGTCTTTTCCAAAGCTAAGTGAATGGTGAAGGTTTCCTGAGCCCGCAGTGAGAAGTGACGTTTTATTATCCTTTGAGGACCGACCAAGAATGAAGCAGTTATCTGGGGAGAAGCCTGGTCTACCCAGCACCCCGGTTAGGACCTCCTGGCCTGTGCATGTGAGGGCCTCGGGCTCCCTGGTGAAGAGCTGGCATCCGAGCAGGGAGTTGGGGGACAGAGGGTCCCCTCCAGGGTGCGGGGCCATGCTGGCGCCCGCCACGGGGAGAGGAAGACAGTACTCTAGGAGCTGTCCTCACTCCCATCCCCCCATGCCCCAAACAAGTGTCATAAACAGGGAAACCTCCAACAAGACCATCAAAAACCCTTCCAGAATGAGTTTAAAAGCAGCCATACACAATCCATGCATTATCTCCTCTTCTGTTAAAACCTAAAGAAGGAAATTCCAATTACCTTGTAGAATTTGATAATGTCTTCCTTCGTAAGTGTCTTTAAATACGCCACTTCTGTATTATCTGAAAAAGTAATCGGCAATAATTTACTAACATTTTTCCCCCTTTTTGGCGGAGTGGGGGGAAGATCCCAACAGGCAGTCATGGGGACAGTGGTTCACTGCTGGGACCTGAGGTCACAGGTGCTAGGGAGGACAAGGGTGATGCCTGAGATGCCCGGTCAACTCCCTGACCACTGACATTGCCATTGGAAGCAAGGCAACTACACCGAGTGACAAGATACTCGGCACTAATACCCTCCAGCATCCCAAACCAGTTCTGGAATAGTCCCTTACAAAAAGACTGACCCTGTCTCTAGGAGGGCCCTCCCGTCTGCCAGCGCTACGCTGAGCTGCCGTAAATGCCGAGGTGCTCATGGTGACTTACCTCTGTCAAAGTTGTACTGCTGAGAGATGATTTCCCCCCAGTATTTAGCACACTCTGCCGACAGCTTCTTTGGTTTGTCTAGTCGACGAATTGCTAATGCTTGGATGTGTTTCTGGAAGGCTTCTTCCGTCATGTCCTCTATGGCCTTTTCCATGGTAATTAAGAAAGCTTCCACTCGGCTCTCTAGGTAGTGAGGTGGCTTTTCCGACTGAATGATGAACCTTAGGCCTTGTATGCCATTGGCTCGACGTGGCCCACTGAAGACAATATAGCCTGAAACACAAACATTAGTCAGGATTTAGGCATTTTAAACTTGGGTCACTCTTGGGGGACAGGGCTGGGGTTTGTGCCAGGGATCAAACCCAGGTCCCTAAACGCAAGGCATGTGCTCTACTACTTAGCCACATCGTGACCCTGGAGTCACTTCTAACCTTTCAAAAAGGAAAAAAAAAAATCTACTCTGGGGATTTGTATCATTTGCCTTTGAAAAAAAATGTGAGCAATAAAGGCATTGCTGATTCCTAAGGATAGCAGAAATGCTCTCTGAAGAAAAGTTGCAAGTCACTCTTAAAAGCAACCAGGGCTCCACTGGCTAAGGCACATGCTTTGTGTGCTGAAGGCGGGGTTTGATCCAAGGTCCTGGGGCACTGCTGGGAGCAATCCCTGAGCAATGAACTAGTAGGCCCTAAGCACTGCCAGGTGTAGCCAAGGGGAAAAAAACCAAAACCAAGCAAGCAAACAAACAAACAAAAAAACCCCACAAAACCCAAAAAACCATCCTCCCCCACACCAAAAAAAAAAAAAAAATCCAATCCATCAATAAATTTTCAATGTCAGCTAATCTCTTTCAACCTATTTATTTCTATTCATATAAAAATTAGAGTCATTTTCATCACCTAACATTTCCTTTGCCCTCCAAGTTTCTGACCTCAACTTGACCCCCACAGACCACCAGCTCTGTAACTCTGGGGGCCGCTACATGACCACCGCCTCCCTCCGGCTTCTCTCCAAAATAGAGCTCAGGACCCTGCATGACACAGGCAGCTATGGTCTCTTTGGGGTCCTTTTCCGAGGAAGAATGGGTCTACAGCATAAAAACTGCAGTGTTTAAAGGTCCTTAGGAACACTGCACTGAACTAGAAGTATCACCCTTTCACAGTTCTGCATTCCTGATTTGAAGGGAAGTCCCATGGTTTAGCTTATCAGTTTGCAATATTCAGCATTAAGCATGAGGGTCATTTCAAAATCGATACTTGGAAGCTCATTTTCTCATGGATCCTTGCCAGTTACTACTACAGCTTCCTTCTTTCTCTTAGTGATCAAACATTCCAGGATCTCTAAGACTTTTGACAGAATTTTAACATTTCCTCGATGCACACGAACTGAGTACCTTCTATGTACCTCGGGCTTGGGAAACAAAGATAAAGAAGAAAAAAATACCTGTTTGCAGGGATTCCAAAGCTAGTGAGTCTAAGTTTCTCTCGATAGCTTGCTTTCCACCTTGTCACACAAAAGAGTACAACCTTAGCATCCTCCCAACCCAAATGTCCTCTTAGGGTTCTATTTGTGGTTTGGTTTGGTTTAGTTTTTGCAGTGGGGGGAATTGAAGCCAGGACCTCACACATGCAAGGCAAGTGCTCTGCTGCTGAGCTACATCCCCCAGCCCTGTCTACACGTTCTCTTAATTTGATGTGTGCGTGATGTAAAGACAGTGTGACCATCTCTAGACCTGCTTTAATGCCCATCTGTACTGGTTACTTTTTAGAAATGGGTTTCCCCACAAGCACGGTACTCACAGGTCATTGAGTAGAGCAAGCCTAGAGCACCATGCTGTGGAACTGTACATGTGGAGAATGTTTTCTGCAGAGAGTGTTTTCAAGGTCCCTGGTACCCTCCTATCCACCCGCACTCCCCACTTACCTAGCTGCTCCTTGGTGCGAAGGGTGTTGAAGCAAGGCTCAGAGATGATCTGACAGAAGAGTTCCAGGAACATATTCTCCGAGGTACTCTGCATGTCTGTCTGGTAGTAGATCTCAATGCCGCAGTTGTTATGAACCTCATTCCTCTGCTGATAAACAAACCAACCTCCTAGAAAGTTTAAAAAAAAAAAGAGAGAGAAACAAGATCAAATACTTATTTTGGCTTTTTAAAAAGTTGTTAGATTTGTTTGATGTCTTCTGATAATTCCATACTCCAGTCAATTTATTAACAATGTAAGACTCTAGGATGGAGAGATAGTACAGTGAGTAGGGCATCTGCCTTTACACGCAGCTGACCTGGGTTTGATCCCTGGTACCTCATACGGTCCCCTGAGCACACCAGGAATGATCCCTGAGTGCAAAGTCAGGAGTAAGCCCTAAGCACTGCCAGCTTATAAGTAAGAAATAAATAAACCAATAAAATACGGCTAGAGTCCTGTTAGCCTTGTGCCAGGCAAGTGCCTATGTACTGTATTATTGTTCCAGACCCCTCTCTGTGGATATTTTCTTTTTTCTTTTTTGGGTCACACCTGGTGATGCACAGGAGTTACTCCTGGTTCTGTACTCAGGAATTACTCCTGGCGGTGCTCAGGGGACCACATGGGATGCTGGGAATCGAACCTGGGTTGGCATGTGCAAGACAGATGCCCTATCTGCTGTGCTATCACTACAGTTCCTCTGTGGATGTTTTTAATTACTAACTCTTCATTCAGTTTTCAGTCAACCATAGTTTTATTCTCTTCAAAAAGATTACTTTTCTAAAATACTACCTCATTGGCCCTTCTACAAAAAAAAAAAAAAAAAAAAGAAAGAAAAAATCTCCTAGAAAAGCACCTATCTTTAACTCACTTAAAAAAAAAATGTTTTGGCAGAATCTCTTGCCCCAGAGCCAGCCTGTCTTCACCAGGGCCCCTTGGAGAGGGGTGGGTTGAGTTTCCCTTCCTGCCCCAAGCAGAACCCTGGCAGCTGAAAACCTCCAGAACCCAGCTACAGCCATGCTCAAGGCCATTCTCCACATGCTCGGATGAGCCTCACACATGAAGGAACTGGCAGAGAAACCCGGGTATGTGGAACCTGTGGCTGAGATCTCCAAGCCTGCTCAGATGGGGACTGGGCCTCCTCCACCCAGATCCCCAGTTTTCCAGTAGCTTGGCAGCCACACCCACAAACTGCCCCCAGCTCCATGTAATCTCATCAACAACCAAGACCCAGAGACTATAAAATAAAACTCCCAGAAGAGAGCGATGCAGTATTTCCTGGAGCATGCGGCCACATTCATGGCTGTATGACATCTTACACTCTAGCCCACTGATGTAACTAAAGTAGAACACCCTTGTTTGGTTTTAACATACTTGCTTGTCTTCTCTTATATATGAGCTTAATTTGCTCCAGAATGAAATACACAACCTTCATACACTTCCCTCTTATTGTGGTGGGAAGATGCTTGCTGCTGGGGTGGGTGTTTGAATATTATCTGTAATGAACTATTGTGAACTGTAGTACTGTAGCACAGTGCTCCCGTTGTTCATCAATCTGCTTGGGCAGGCACCAGTAATGTCTCCATCGTGAGACTATTGTTACTGTTTTTGGCATATCGAATACGTCATGGGTAGCTTGCTAGACTTTGCCGTGCAGGTGGGATACTTTCGGTAGCTTGCCGGGCTGTCCAAGAGGGGTGGAGGAATCGAACCTGGGTCAGCCACATGCAAGGCTAATGCCCTACCCAATGTGCTATTGCTCCAGCCCATTGTGAACTACTTTCTGAAAATAAAATGTATAAAAATTGCAAAAAAAAATTTTTTTTTGCTTTTGGCCACAATGGTTGGTGGCTTCTCCCATACATAGCAGAGCTTCGGGGGTCATGTCCCCTCTGTGCCAAGGGAATCGTGTGGTGTTGAGGACCCAGTCCTGGCCTCCCACATGCAAATCCTGTGTTCTAGTCTGTTGAGCTATTTTATTATCATGCACGTCGAAAGAAATTTAATTTCAACTAATGAGTAATTTAACATTTCAACTTACTGTCAGGCAGCTGGACTTCTCTATAGCGAACCAGCTGACTTGGGAGGAGAGGTTTGGTGTGAGCATATTCAACAAGCGTGTCCTCAACCATCTGCATGATCCCTAATGCAGTCTGTGGAATAAAACAGGCCACACCCATCACCATACACAGATGTACCTTGTCTTGGAAAATGGTGCATTATCAGGTGGTAGCCACGTAATGTACACACATGCATATGAAAGAAACAAAACTAGTGTGGTTGATCATAATCAGAAAAATACATTTGGGAATCTTAAACACACCCCCTCTGACTCAAAGGCATTAAACTAGAATTTGTCCTTCTGCGGTGGCAGGAGGAACACGCAGACATCAGTTCTGACCCAGAACCCAAAGGAAAAAGGGCTGCCAAATCTTTTTAGGAGGAATGGGTCCCAGGGAAGAATGCTGCCCAAACACTGGGGTTTAGGGCTAAGGTGAGGAATTTGAGGCTTTACCTTGAATAAAACAGGTCATGGGGAAAAGGACATGAATTAGCAGCAGGTTGGATATACTGATTTGGAGGCACTACAGCAGGATGGCAGAGTGCAGGCTCTTGAGAAGGACTCCCTAAGAACTGCAGAGATTTTCAAGGTGGGAGTCTAAATTCACGGGGTGAGTAACAAGGCAATGCTTCTAATTCTGATTTCACAGAGCAGGAAAGCAGAGCCCTGGCAGGGTGAGCCACCTCCAGAAGTTACTGATCTAGGAGGTAGCAGGATCTGACTCTGCGCTGCTGGACGCTCCCCCAAGGTGCTCATCCCATCACCCAGTCCGCTGTCCTGAACACGGGAGTGGGGGGGGGGGGAGTAATTGCTCCCCCACCCTTCCCTGGGTCCCACAGGGCTTTCCTCCCAGCTTGATGACTGCAGAGGAGGTGGCAAGGAGAGTGGGTCTGCAGGCAACCACCAGCACACTCTCTGCTCCTGTTCCCAGCTTCTTCCAAAGAGCAAAAACTGAGCAGGGCAGTACTCGGGATCACACGGCGGGAGTGAATAGTCTTAACCCAGGGTTAAAAGCAAGATCCAGAAAGATCTGTCAAGCCTGCGACACCCACCTGCTTTGTTATGTTTCCATGGAGAAGGGCTTCGATGTGCAGCCGAGACAGCAGCTGAGGAATGAAGGCCTTAAGGCAAGAAAGGGTGACATCTGCAAAGGGGCAACACACAGTCAGCTCCAGCTGGGAGGCTTTATAAAAAACTCTTAGGGAGTTTGAAAGAGAAAAGTTGCAAAGGCAACCCGGACCGCACTGGAAACCCATCACCCAGTCTCCCCGTAGGGGAATACCTCTCCTAACCATAGAGTATTGATCAGAACCAAGAAACCAACGCTGTACCATGGTGTAAACTCAAATACAGGCATTATCTGGGTTTTCCACTTCCCCCTGGCATCGCTCCTTTTGTGTTCCAGGCTCCCATCCACACCCCACGTTGCCAAGAGTCCTTAGTTTCTGCTAATCTGTGGCAGTTCCTTCAGTCTTCACTTGTCTTTTAGTACCTTAAGATTTTTGAAGAGCACTGTTTAATTTTGGCTTTAAGTTTTGGGGCCACCCCTAGTGGTGCTCAGGGCTTACTCCTGGCTCTGTCCTCAGGAATCACTCCTCGTGGGGCTCAGGGGATCAAAGCTGGGTTGGTGATGCACAAGACAGGCACCTTACCCACAGTGCTATGGTCCTCGGCCCCCAACACTGTCTAGTTCCTAACTCAACCGAACAGAGAGAAAGATGTATTAGCACTCTTGTCTGATGAAATTACCAAACTCAGTCTATTTTTTCCCCTCTTCGGAGAACTTCAGCATTATTAAATTATAAATGCTTGAGAACAACATGTAGCTATCTGCAGAAATATATGAACAAAAATAACCACTGCAGATCCAGGTTGAAAATAGCAAATATAGCTAAGAAACAAAAGTTTCTTAAGGGAGTGGGAGGAATCATGGGGACGTTAGTGCAGAGAAGTTGACTCTGGTGGTGGAATTGGTGCTGGAACATAATGTCTGAAACTCAATTATTACCTTGTAAATCACCATGCCTTAAAAAAAAAAAGAAAAAGAAACCCCAAAATGTCACCCAAATGTCACCATAATTTTGTTTTGGGCCCCACCCAGTGTTACTCAGGGGTTCCTCTGGCTCTACATTCAGGGTCACCATGGTTTTTATTTAAAAGTATGCCCAGGGGACGGAGAGAGAGTAAAGTGGGTAAAGTACTTGACTTGCAAGTGGCCAACCTGGTTTAGATCCCAAGCACCCCATTTAGTCCCCCGAGCCTTACCAGGAGTGACTCCTAAGTGCAGAGCCAGGAATAAAGCTCTAAGCACTGCCAGGTGGGGTCCCTCCTGCCACCCCCCCCCAAAAAAAAGCATGCACAGCTGCCTTTAAAGTATAAACCAAAGTGATTTCAGAAAGACAAAGGAAGCAAAAGGCTAAAGGTGGGAAACCAGCATCTCACCATCCAGGGCTTCTTTCAGTTCATCTTTAGTCCAGGCCACTTCTGTCATCAGCAAGCGGAGGTAGTACATGGCATGCTGGTGGGGCTGCTCAGCCCGGAAATTGTTGAGAGATCGCATATACTAGAGGACGAGACATGGGCTTATAGCTTTCAGAAATACTTTATTTTTTTAAAATAAATTATCTATTTATTGGTTTTTGGCCACATCCGGCAATTCTTAGGTGGTTACTCTCGACTCTGCACTCTGGTGGGCCCAAGGGACTGTATGGGATGCCAGGGATCGAACCCAGGTTGGCTGCATGCAAGACAAGTGCCCTCCCTGCTATCCTATCACTCCTGCCCAACTTTTAGAAATGCTTTAAAAGGCAATTACTCCTCTCTTGCCCTTAAAGGATGTGCTTTTCAGCGTCTAGGGTGGGGCTTTACCTGCAACATCTGACATGCCTAGAATGACACTATGGGTGTCTAGACCTCGGAAAGTTATCCCCAGCTTTCAGAGCCTTCATCTCTTGGCATTCTTTTGCACAGGCTAAGGCCATCCTGAAGTAGTAAAAAGCTGGCCCCATATAATGTTATAGACTCAATATTACACATAAGAATAATGTATGTATGTTTACACATATAACATACAGGCTCTTCATTTATTTTATTTTTATTATTCTGTATCACTGTCATCCCATTGTTCATCAATTTACTTGAGTGGGTGCCAGTAACGTCTCCATTCATCCCAGCCCTGAGATTTTAGCAGCCTCTCCTTACTCGTCTTTCTCAACGCTGTCATATTGGAGCTCTTTCAGGGTCAAAGAATTGAGACCTGTTATTGTTACTGTTTTTGGCATATTAAATACACCACAGGTAGCTTGCCAGGCTCTGCCAATTTTTATTATTAATATTATTTTTATTTTTTGGCTTTTTGAGTCATACCCAGTGATGCTCAGTAGTTATTTCTGACTCTGCACTCAGGAATTACTCCTGGCAGTGGCCAGGGGACCCCTATGGGGTGCCAGGGATCCAACCTGGGTCGGCCGCATGCAAGGCGACTGACTATATTATCCATTGTATTATCATTCCGGCCCCAAGCTCTTCAATTTTAAAAATGCCATTTATGTTGGTATACAATTAAAGGTCACAGTCCGGTTCTTAAAACAGTATCCATCCCATATTTCCATTAGTGGGTCAACAGAGAGCTAAATTTGAGCAGGACTTGTATCAGGCCTAAAGTGTTTAATGTGACAGAGTTTAATGTGACAAGGTCCTCTTAAAAGGTCAATCTCAACCTAGGAAACTGTGTGCTCTTCCAAAAAGGAAGCGAGATGAAACCTTCACGGTGTTCCTAGGTCAACAGCAGGCTTCTCTGACAGCCAATGCTGCCCTGTCCTTGCTCCTGGCCCCATCTATGGACGGGCCAGGGACCCATCAGTCTCCTGGGCTTCCATTCCGCACAAAGGACTTAGCAAGAGCAGGCCAAGAGCATGAGCACGGGGTCGGGAAGGCCTCTCCTCCTCTCCAAAAAAGTTTGGAACATGGCAATAGCACCTTGCGAGTGAAAAAAAATTCACTGACAATAAAATTAACTCAGGAAACTTACCGCCTCTTTGATGATTTCAAATCTCTTTTCATCAATCTCAAAGGTGGCCATTTTCTCGATAATCTTCTTTAGCAAAATTGGCTGCTTGTCATTGTAACCTTTCACTGAGAGCTACAGAAAAGAGTTCAGGGTATTTAAAGCCTAAGCATGCATGCGATGACTTCCAAATAGACATCTTAAGTACTTTTTGTTTTCTGACCATTCCTGGCTCGTGTGATGCCAGGGATCAATCAAACCTGGGCTCCTGTGTGCAAAGCATGTGCTCCAGCCCTTCGAATCATTTCCCTGACCCACCAAAAGAGACATCTTAATTTGTTGGATTTCTTTTTAATTTATTCTTTCCTTGAGGGGAGCACACCCCAGGACGTGCTCAGAGAATACTCCTGTAGGTGCTCGGAGGAGCATATGGGGTGCTAGGGATGCCAGGTCAGCTATGTGCAGGGTAAGCACTTGAGCAGCTGCTCTGTTTCTCTAGGACCTTAATCTGGATTTTCTAAGTACTTAGAAAATTCCCAAATCAGGTATACAAAAACAAAAGTGAAAGATGAAATTCAGCTAACTTATAGAATTTAAAACTTGGGAAAAAATAACATTAACTCTATTTACTAGTATCAGAAAAGCTTGATTTCGCTTCTCTTAAGCAAAATAGTAGGAAAACTCAACTGGTGTGCACACACTGTATCATTAAGACTTAAATTCTCTGCCTGTTAAGGTGGCAGGCTGGGGAAGGGGGTGGGATGGCCAAGAGGAAACCTGGGAATCCTGGTGGAGGGAGGAAAGAACTGGTGGTGGTATTGGTGCCCCAAGCACACAGTATACTTAAAACCCAACTTTGTAAATCATGGTGCTCTACATTTTTTTTTTTTTTAAACAAAGAGATGTCTTAAATTCTCATTAAGTGGGAATGATGGAATGTTGGATCTTGGAGCTGCACCCAGTGCCACTCAGGGACTACTCCCAGCAGCGCTCCCGCTCCATGCCCAGACGTGCCAGGGCTTACTCTAGCTCTGTGTTCAGGGCTTGGTCTCCCCTGAAAGTGCTTGGAGCACTATCTGCGGTATCAGGTTGGCTGTGTGCACGGCAAACATCTTAACCACTACTATACATATAAAGTTTAGTTTTTAAAAATAACTTTCTCTCTCTCTCTTTTTTTTAAATTTTTGGGACTTCCCAGCACTGCTCAGGGGACCGGAAGAAGTGCTGGGGATTTGGCCTGGGGTTGGCACTGTGTAAGGAAAACATCATTACCCCGGTACTATTTCTCCAGCCCCCAAGAAGAATTTCTAAGGAATAGCAAGATTAAGGTATTTTTGATTTTTTTTTCCACGTGTAGTAACAAAGTGTAAAAATACCAGGAACAAAGAAGCAGGTATCTCAAATTAATTGTATTTATCTTTGGTGATATCAGGACCCCTATTTTTGTATTAAGATGAGATTTTGTCCCTTTTCCCATTCAGTGCTGCTCAATGAGGACCTATCTATACATCTGTTTGTTTAGCTGTGGATTGATTGTTCTGATATTCCAAAAGCAGTGAAACAGATGGACTGTGAGAATACCATGGCTTCACCACATCAGGTTTGATCTTGGAACAATTTAATTCAGTCTCTGAAAGTACTGAAAATCAGGCAATCCCACCTATATTTCCAGACAGTGGTACCCACAGCTGCCAAGGAGACAGTGCACCCAAAAGTCTCCACGCTGTAAAAAATGACAGGTAGGAGTGCCAGCAGGAGCGGGGGCAGCTGGTTTCAGAAAAGCACATCAGATCCCATGGGACTGGATGGACAATTAGCAGAGAGAGTATTTTGTCAGAAATATACAACTTTTTAATTTGTTTAGGCTACACCTGTTGGCGTTCAGGGCTTGCTCCTAGCTCTGCACTCAGGGATTATTCCTGGTGGGGGTCGGGGACCATATGTGAAGCCAGAGACTCAGCCTGGGTTGGCTGCACTGCAAGGCAAGCACCCTAACCTGCTGTACTATCTGTCTCTCTGGTCCCCAAACATGATTTATTTTAATGCCAGTATCCTACTAAAATTAAATAACAAAAAATAATCAACAGATTACTACTTTTCTACTTGGGGCTTATTTTCACCTATGGGCTTCAAATTTCTCTGGATGCTAAGAACAGTAATAATTTCTATACATTTTTCTACTTTAAACAAAAGCTACCAGTGAAGAAAATAGTCACTATAAGATAAATCCTGAAAAGTTTAAAAAACCTTTTGTGTAAGTTTCTTGTTTTACTTTCAAGGATTATGCAGCACATGCTCTCATTTTAGTTTTTGCTAAAACAAATAATGTAATTTGAAGAAAAGTGAAGATGAATGTGTGCATACATGAATGTTAATTTGGAAATGAGGAACGTTGGGGAAAAAATATCAGTAAGTTTTAATAATAAGGATATTTCTTGGGATGCATTTAATAATGCCTACTGAAAAAAAAACAACTTAAAAGTAATGATGCATGCGACAAAACAACGTAAATTAAAATGTCTGATATATCTGAGCACAGGAACTCTCTACCCACTGTTAGCAGAAAGAAAAAAAAAGCTGTTTACGAGTAAGTAAAATTTGAGTGCCACAAGAATAACTGGATAGCTTTTAGTTGCAGACATTAATATACTTAAATATGTGGAACAAACAACATGCTGTCAGGATTAATGTGTTAAGCATTTCAAGTGAAGGAGCATGCAAATAAATGTAGCACACATACATGTTCACAAGATGCAATAAGCTGGACTAAGTCGTTCATTAGTGGAACTACTACTAATCTGAGTTCTTCAATCAATAAAAAGGTGCAAGAAAAAAAATACCATCTTCTTGTTTATGAATGCAGAAGTTAATTGTTTTCTCAAGCTCAACATAATGCTTCAAAGGAGTGGCACCTTTTCTTTGGTCTTCATTTTACTTACAAGTATTGCATTCATTCCTGATGCAATGCCATAGCTCAAACCTGAGAGGCGTGCTGCATATGTATACTCTTTTAAATCATCCTTCAATAACCTGATAAACAGGTATGTCATGTTGCAATGGAGAGGATCAGCATAAATGTAGCGACTAACGAAAAGAAAAACAAAAGAAATGCTTTGATACCTCAAGCAGTGACATGGTAATGAAGAAACATGACCGAAGAGTATGGATATGCAGCCACATGATCTGAATTTCTAGGGAAATGGGACAGGCCAACCTTATGTTTACAATGGCAGCGAGACTTCATTCTCTGCTTTCAGACCAAGACTTCAGGTACAGAATGAATGAGAGCTTAATCTACATACAGGTCCAATTTTGTTTGAGGATAAAAAAATAAGACAATCTGATGAAAGATGTTTAAAAAAAAGAAATCATGGAAATTTTGCATATATGAATGGAATATTGCTGAATACTTAGAATAAGAGTTAACTTAAAAATGATGAGAAATTATGATTAGCCATAAAGATTCAAAAAAAAAGAAATTAAACTCATACCCTCAATCAAAAATGCTTCCATCAAATCAATATAAAAAATGTTGATGAGTGGAAGGCTCTAAGACGTGGGTACTTACATACATCCCATAGATGGTATTTTGGAGGTCATAGCTCAAGCCTGCTAGCTCTGCTGCATATGCATACTCGTTGAGTGAGTCTTTGAGGAGCTCAAGGTACAAATAGGCCATGTTACAGTGCAAGGGGTCCACATAAGCAAATGGGCTGGAAGAAAATGTTGACAGTAAAATAGCTGTTTTATTACTTCCCAATGTGACATGGCCTTTCGAGAAGGATCAAGAAACTGAACACCAGTTAATACCATTTCCTGAAGCTCGGCTTGAATTCCTGAGTTTGGTTTTTCTTCTTAGGAGGATACAAAGGCGGCTGAAATAGGCTGTGTGTGCTGGTGGTGGTGAAGAGGGAGAAAACACTATCCGAGATGGTGTGGCAGAAAGGCAGGCCAAGGGACCGGGCACAAGGCGGAGGAGTATCTCAGAGGACTGCGACTCTGCCCCTCTGAGCCAGCCACACCCTTGGTGGATTTGGTATGTGACTGAGCTTGTATGGCATCAGTTCACTCAGAAACACTGATACCTTATCTCTTAAGTTTCTCTTAAAACCAAAAGAGTTAAAGCACTGTCAGAGAAAAAAAACAATTTTTTTTACCATATTAACTGCAGTCTGGTAAACTACTTTTTTTTTTTTTACCATATTAACTCTTTTTAGAACTAGGAAATACTTAAACTAAGGGAATATGCAAGTGAGAAAGAGCAGCAGAGAGAGCGGTAACAGAGTGCAACAGCTAAACAGAACAACAGATCATTTAAATCTTCATTTTCCAAGCAGGAAACACAATTTTGCTCATCTCACCTAGGTTCACAGGAACAGAGTTAGAGTTCAATATGAGTCAAATGGCCTACTCATCTGACTGCACGACATGCTTACCTTTTGAGAAGCAAGTAAGAGTCACTCATGCAACAAGTATGTATTACATATGTACTAGAGAACTAGGTTCTCTAAGTACTGGGAAAGAAGAAGGAACAAATCAGGCAAATTTCTTGACTTCAGAGGATTATATAGTCAAGTCTCACCAGAGGGAATAATAACTTCTTATGGTGGTGGTGCCAGCCACCTTGTACTGGCCAGAAAAGTGCTACACCACCAAGCTACATAAAACTAAATACGATATACCAGGTGATGAGAGCACTATGGAGAAAAAAATGGGCAGAACAATAGTCACAGGGTAGCGGTGATCGGGGAGAAAGAACTTGAGTTAATAAAAGGGCCAAGCAATGCTCTTGGTAAGGGGACACTTCTCGTGTATGTGATGCCAGAGTTCAAACTCAGAATCCCAAACGTTATGTCTCTAACGCCTGGTAAGGAGTTAACTTAGGGAATGAAGGGAGAGAGTTGGGAGGGAAAGGTGCAGAATGAGCAGCTTTCCAGGGAAAGACACAGGTAGGACAGAGAAGCAGAGGCAGGTCCCTGCGTGGCTTGGACACAAATGAAGGGTTTTCCTCTTTCTGTAGCACAGGAAATAGAATTAATGTGCTGAAATCAAAGCCAACAATGTCTGTTTCATTTTTTGCTTCTTTGGGCCATACCCAGCAATGCTCAGGTGTCACTCTTGACTCTGTGCTCAGTAACTGCTCCTTGGCGGACTTGGGGGATCATGCAGGATGCTGGGGATCGAACCCGGGTTGGCCGCATGAAAGGCCCTACACATTGTGCTACCGCTCCAGTCCCTCAATAATATCAATGAAGCGGATAAGTGAGCAAACCACAGGGGCAAATAACTGTGGCATTTAAAGAATTAAAATCAAAGAAAGCAATTGTGACATGGCTCAACAGTCCCAGACAAGCCATACATGTTTGAGGCCCGGGGGATGATACCAAGCACCACCCCAAGAAATGTAAAATAAAAAAAATCAAAGAGAAAAATACTACAGCTATACATAATTCCTCCACCTGGAAATTCTCAGTACTCTGTGGCTGAATGTCCTCCCCCACTGTTTCCTTTCTTTGGGAAAGGATGGCTCCAAAGCATACAGCAGGCTGGGGCCATGGGACGGCAAGGAGAGCGTTTCTGTTGCACCCGGCTGACCTGGGTTTGATCCCTGGCCTCCCATATGGTCCCCTGAGCACTGCCAGGCAAATTCCTGAGTGCAGAGCCAGGAGGAATCCCTGAGCATGGCCACGTGTGACCCAAAATGCAAAAAAAAAAAAAAAAAAGAAACATCATCAAAAGAAGAGTTCATAAGAAGACCACACGGGCTCCTTGGCAGTTAACTGCCTTACTGAAAAGTCAAACATTAATTAAGAGCCAACCTGAGCAGGCAAAACAACACAGCTCTAGCTCAGAATGCAATTCCAAGAAGTGCCCTAGACTGCTGCATCCTTAGGAGCAGTGTTGGTGATGGAGAGGCTTAAACAAACTAAACAAGGGAGCAAGATTCAACCAGAATGCTTAGAGCCTGGTTTGCTGGTCAACTTAAAAGCTGTGTAACTAGTAATTTATATACTTAAGCATGGAGTTAGTTTTAAAAACTGTGACTCTGCGTATACATGAACATAATCCAAAATAACACAACACAGAAAATCTATTTAACAATGTACAAGAAACTGAACCACATACACACACACACACACACACACACACACACACACACACACACAGAAATTAGGCATGGTGGGTGATCATGGCAGTGAAGAAAGATTAGAGTTTGGTGAAATGTCAAAGGGTCTTTCTTTCCACATCGCCAGAGATCTCTCCAGACCCCGTACCAAGCCAATTCCACCAGGGCACCTCAGATGGAGCAAGTCTGCTCTCCCTGCCTGCTCCAGATGAAACCCCAGCGACCATGAACTTCCAGAAGCAAGGCCCAGGTATGAGGGTTCCAGGACTAAGACTCCAGGCCCCAAGGCAGTGGCAGAGGAGTCGGGCTGTCCCTCCCTGGCTCCCCGCCCACTTGGGGTCCTGGCCATCACACCCACAATCTGCCTCAGGGTATCATCTCAGTAAACCAATGGCTGTGGTCCAGAGACATTCAATTGAATCCCAAAATGGATCAGTGCCCTACAGAGAAGTCTCCGGACCCCAACCATTCACAATTTTAGAATTCCAGAAGTGTGCAGCTGTCTTTGTGGACATGCAACCTCTCATGATGTTCAAAGTGAACAATAGAAAATAAATTATCTAGCGTCTGCCCCTGGCAGCAGGCTTGAATGGTGGTGAGAAAATTTGAGCCAACCATAACGCCCAAGAGCAGAGACAGAGTATGGGGGAAACTGTCGGCCATAGAGGCAGGGGGAGGACTGGGATCAGGGTGGGGGGATACTGGGGACATTGGTGGTGGAAAATGTGCACTGGAGGAGGGATGGGTCTTCGATCATTGTATGGCTGAAGCTCAAATATGAAAGCTTTGTACCTGCATCTCATAGTGATTCAATTAAAAAAAATGCCACAGGGTCCCTCGACAAGTATTGAGAGGTAATACATAATTTAAAAAAAAAATGGCGAAGTGGACACAGGGTGCTCAGTGTGTCACAAATATTCATCTGAATTTTTTAAAAAAAAGTCTGCTCTAAAGAACAAAACCTCTCATCACTCACGGAGATAATATATGAATCTCAGGTTATAAAACATAACATTTACATCCCCACAATCTCAACATGCTTGGTGAAATATTCACTTTCTACCAAGAACTTCTTCTTCCTTTTTCCAGAGTATTTCTTTATTGGGGAACAGGGGGGTAGGGAGGCAGGTGGGAGGTGTTAGACCACACCTGGCAGTGGACTGGGATAACATGTGGTGCGAGAGGTTTCTACCAGGATGGCAGTCACTGTGGTTGCCTGCAGGGCGAGTGCCTCCTGCACTCTCTCATTTTTGAGCCACACCTGGAGGTGGTCTGGAGGCTCAGGGATCACTCCCAGTGAGTCTTGGGGGACTGTATGTGGGGCCAGGGAGTGAAAAGCAAGTGCTCTACCTGCTGTACCATCTTTCCGGCACATTTTCAATGAAACTCCTATAAGGAGTCTACAGCATCCCCAATTTTCCAAATCCTGAAGGCCAAGAAGGGCTAACTACTAGTGAATCCAAATCATTCAAAGGAAGAATGAGAAATTCATGATCAGCGGCAGCTTTCCCTTGTTTAGGCTAAATAACTCTAATTTGTGTGTGGGGGGGAGGGGGGAACGTCGAGTAGTGGGCCCACTCTCAGCTGTGCTCACTCCTGGCTTTGCACTCGGGGATCACCCCTGGAGGCGGGACCATACAAGATGCCAGGAATTGAACCCCAGTGGGCTGAGTGGAAGGCAAGCACCTTAAGCCCTATCCTGTCCACTACTATCTCCCTGGGCCCCTTTCTAATTCTTTTTTATTTGAGACATGAGTTCTCAAAAATGCAGAAGAGACATTTAGAAATGCAAATGTTGGTTTACAAGTCACTCTGTAGCTAGATTCAGTTTACCTACCTGAAAAATTCAAAATTGAGACACGCCTTGGGCAAGAAAAACTTATCATCTTGCTTGAACCAGAGTTTGCTCATGGCTGTATCCTGTGATGGAGAAACAGTCTGGTTAGGGAGACGTAGGACAGCAAATCAGTCTCAGGGACAGAGGCAGCGGCTGGGTTCTCCTCTGGAGATGCTGCCACCTCATGACCTTGCAGCATACCCAGCGGGGGAGGAGGTCGGAGCCCGGAGAGTGAGGACTGCTGGCCCCAGAGAAACCAGCCTCTACCTTCCTGGGGCTAGGGAGACGAGGAGAGAGTGGAGGAAGATGGAGAATCCGGCAGCAGTCCTATCTAACCCCCCTCACTGGACACCGGATGGCAGTGGCGGCAGCGTTCTTAGGGCGGTCATGACCCGCCGGCTGGACACCATGGCTCCCTAGAGCCAGTCCTCTTTCTGCAGGAGGGCGGGTCCCACACGCCGAGATGAGATCATTAAGAGACACTCTGGCTTCCAGCGTGCTCGCTCAGTTTCACTCTTGGGTCACACTTTGGGTGAAGTCTGCGGCCGGTCAGGTCCCTCTATGGAGAGGTCCCTGTGGTAAAGAACTCATGCCTGCCAGCAACCACATAAGTAAACCTGGAAGGCGAGTGAAGCCCCAGCCAACAGCTTGAACCAAAGCCACAGTGACCCAACTAAACCACTTTCAGATTTCTGACCTTCAGAAACCATGTGAGATAAGAATAAATGTATGTGGATTTTTTTTGGGTGGGGCAGTCATACCCAGTGATGCTCAGGGCTTATTCCTGGCTCTGAAATCCAGAACTACTCCAGGCAGTGCTCGAGAGAGTATATGGGATGCTGGGGGTTGAACCCAGGTTGGCTGGGTGCAAGGCAAGTGCCCTAGCCACTATACTATATCTCTCCAGTTCCATTTGTGCATTTTTAAACCTTAAATTTCAAAGTAACTGCTGTCAATCAAAGCATAACACAGCCAACAATTAAAAAAAAAAAGTATGTTGAGTCTACACTTAATTCAAACTATAGTAAAACTAGTTTCAGATGTTTACTTAAATTTATTTTAAAACTGATAGTAGTTTAATATTCTCTTTGATATAACTCTTGTGAACTATTTTAAATAGGTAACAAAAATGAAAAAAACAAGAGTTCTTTCTAATAATAACCTAATCTGTAGTTCATTAAAAAAAATTTTTGGGGGGCGGAGGAGCTATACCAGTGGTGCTCAGGGGACTGGAAGGGATACTGGTGACTGAACCTGTTGGCTGTGAGCGAGGCAAGTGCCCTGAGTCCCTAAAAAAACACCAAGCCTAACATGTTACCTTGATAAGAGAAGGGTAAGGTGTTGCTTCTTTTTCTAATGGTAAAATCTCAAAATTCGTCGGAATAAATTCATTTTTTGTTGGAAGCTTAAATTTTCCATTCAGGTCAGCATTTTGCCATTTCTGGATAAAAAAATTAAAAACAAACATGCAACACAAACAAGTAATTAAGAGTCTGAAAAGTTTAAAATCACCACTCTGTTCAATAATCAGGTAAATATTAAGGGAACAAATGCCACAAAACTTTTTTCTCTTATCACATAAAAAGAAGTTACATCCAAGATCTACTGACAGCTCTTCATAATAGCTCTGTTGATTGCTCTGGTACTAGAGGTTTTGTACTTACTTTGGCCAGACACATTAAACTCTGGGCTCCCACCCGCATGTACTCCATTCCATTTAGCTATTTCCTCAGCCTTCAGCACAAGCATTTTTTTAAAAAAAAAATTTTTTTTTTTTATTAGTAAAACACCATGAGGTACAGTTGTAGACTTAGAGATTTTTGTGCCTGGGTTTCAGCTATACAAGCACAAGCATTTCTTTAAGGCCTGGCCTTTTCCCCAGATAATCAAGTGAACTTTTTCTTTTTTAATTTTTTGGGACCACACCCAGTGATGCTCAATCCCGGCTCAGGGGTTATTCCTGGCGCTGCTCTGAAGCACACAGTGCTGAATCTCCTGCAAGCAAAAGCAAAGCTACCCTCCAGCTTGTGACACTTTTTCTCTGACCTGGCCGAGTGAACTTTAAAGTGAAGTTATTCTCTTTTTTTTTGGGGGGGGGAGGGGTGATCACACCTGAAAATGCTCAGAGGTTACTTGGCTCCTCCACTCAGGAATTACTCCTGGCAGTGCTCATGAGACCATATAGAATACCAGGGACTGAACCCTGGTTGGCCGCTTGCCAGGCAAACACTCTATCTGCTGTACTATCATACTATCACTCTAGATCCCAAGTGAACATAACCAAATAATCACACCGCTAAGGATGAAGTTGAAACTTAAGTCCGGATTTTTTTTCTTTTCCTTTTTTGGGAGATGGGGGGAACAGCCAGCAGAGCTCAAGGATCAGTCCTGACAGACACAGGGGACCATATGGGGTATCAAGGATTGAATCTGGGTCAGCCGCTTGCAACCCGCTGTACTATCACTCCAGCCCCCAGTTTGATTTTTTCTCATGGGCTGATATTAAGTCATGGAGACTAGATCATATGCCACCAACTACAGAATTCTGTAGCACTGCACTGTCCTTCCTTTGTTTGTCGATTTGCTCGAGCAGGCCCAATAACGTCTCCATTGTGAGACTTGTTATTGTGTTTGGCATATTGAATACGCCATGGGTAGCTTGCCAGGCTCTCCAAATGGGCGGAGGAATCGAAACCGGGTCGCCCGGGTTGGCCACGCGCAAGGCAAATGCCCTACCTCTGTGCTATCACTCCAGCCCGGCAGAATTCTGTAAGACTTAATTATATTGTTATCTTTTGGATTTGGGGCAACATCCAGTAGTGCTCAGTGCTTCTGGCTCAGTACCCAGGGACCACACCTGATGGGGACTGGGGGACCAAATGTGGAGCAAAGAATGAAACCCAGGTCAGCTGTGTGAAAGGCAGCACCAGTTCCCACAGTGCTATGCTCTGGCCCAAGACTTAAGTAGTGAAAAAACTAAAACGTTACTCCACTGCCAATAATTCTGGATTCAGCAATCTGTCCTTCGTAGAGGTGGCGTAGCTTTGCAGCCTCTCCTAGAGCTCTACTTTTGTCTTTATATCTGTATATTTTGGCACAAGACTGTAGGGATATGGGCCATGTCCATAAACAGCAAACTTAAGACTCCAGAGAAATAAATTCTATTTGGAGCACAGCAGTCATAGTAAATAGAGTTTGGTGAGTAGGGATTCTCTCCTGCTTTAGGACTAATTTAAACTCAGCACTAGCTCATGAAAGAACAATTTTCCTCACAATTTTAGCAGGTGAGGTGTAGACTCAAACCTAGGCCTCTTGTATGTAAAAGTACATAGTCAGGTGCATTGAGTTCGCTTTCCAGCCCTTGATTGTCTTTCTTAAATTATGCTTCCTTCGTTTCTGCATTGTCACTGCACAGGTATATTGAAGGAATGCTATAACTTCAATCTAATGAATTCTGATGTCTTCCCATGAAGGACACAATTTCAAAGCTAGATAAGCCTTACGGATAAAATCTTTACTACTGATGAATGTTTTAAACTGCTTATTTAAGTATATTTATTTCATCATTGTTTCTAATTCCCCTATGTTGACAAAAAGGAGCAGTGATATAATGCAACATAAACTATAACCACCTGTTACAGCGAAATTAGTGTGAGTCCCAGGTTTCTCCCTGCCTGTGTTCACAGCAAGATCGGGAGTTCTCTGGAGAGCTGGCATTTTGCCTTTCATGCTCCCTACTTTCATCTCTTCCTGTCTCAATGCCTTTATTTCTGGGTGCACTTTTTGTTTCAATGATCTCTGCTTAAAGTTGGGAGTCGGCTCTACAGCTCAGCTGGACTAACAAACACACAAAAGATGTCCAAAGTGCCATTTTTCCATGCAAAACCCTAAACTCCAGCTCTCTAGCATAAAGTGCCACCACCCTCCACTCTGCCGACTTGGGGCCTTCTCACACGAGTCACAAATGCGTTGACCCTACCTTGATGACATCCTCAGGAATGGCTTCTTGCTTGTACTGTGTTCCGTACCACTCTTCTGTGCGATCAGTTTGTCCTTCAAAGGATTTGGAAACTATTGCAACCCTAGAGATAGATGAAAAAAAAAAAATACTAAAAAATAATCTATAAGCTCATATTTTATATAAATACCTCTATATACAAATTTATAAAATGTGACACATTAAAAAATTGTTTTGTTTTAGGGCAACACCTTGTGGTGCTTAGGGCTTTCATTCCTGACTCCATACTCTGGAATCATGCCTGGAGGATTTGGGAGACCACATGTGTGTCAGGGATTGAACCTGGGCAGGCAACATGCAAGGCAAGTACCCTGCCCCACTGGACTATTGCTTTGTCCTGATTTAAATATTTAAAAAAAAATTATAGGCCGAGACTAGTACCAGGAATTTTGCTCCATGACTTGGAGGCCAGCCACACATGCTAGGGGAAAAGGAAGCTCAGATAGAGAAGGGAGCACCAAATAACGGGTGTTTGGAGGATCCTCCCAGGATGGGAGAAGCATTCTGAAAGTAGACTATAGACCAAACATGATTGCCACTCAATGCCTCTCTTGCAAACCACAACACCCAAAAGGAGAGAGAGAGAACAAAAGGGAATGCCCTGCCACAGAGGCAGGGTGGGATGGGGGGAGGGGGTGGGAGGGATGCTGGGACCGGCGGTGGTGGAGGATGGGCGCTGGTGGAGGGATGGGTACTTGATCATTGTATAACTGAAACCCAAGCACAAAAATTTGTAAGTCTAGGAGTTGGGGGAGGGAAAAAAAATTTATAAGTCTATAACTGTACCTCGTGGTGTTTCACTAATAAATAAATAAATAATTGTAGGGAATAAGGATATAGGAAGCACCTTTCTTGTGGTTTAGCAAAGGTTTCTTTGACACAATAGTAGAAACAGTCAAAAGAACAAAAACCTTCCGGGAGGGAAAGTATGACATGTCAAAAGAAAACTGAACTGGGGTGAAAGAGATGGTAGAGCAGGTAGTGCATTTTTCTTGCAAACAAGCTGACCTGGGTTTAATCCCCAGCATTCCATGTGGTCCCCTGGGCATCAGCAGGTATGGCCCCAATACAAAAAAAGAGACAACTGAACAAAAGAACTAGTAAGGAGCAAAGGAAGATCTGAGCCAGGGTAGCTCCTGGACTTGTGGAGAATCACGAGGGAAATTTCTGTTTCTGTTGCCTTTCTTGAATAATCTATGTTGTATTATTACACTCTGACTTGTAGCAGGGACCAAACTATTTTGAATCTTGTGGACAGAAAAGCTCAAAGCTACCAGCTGGCTTGGGATGACCTTAGTCCTGATACAAGTTCCACTGTTCCTTCACATCCCACCTCAAATAACCAGGTCTGTGTCTGCTCCTGGTCATAAGTTTGGTAGGAGCTTCTGAAAGCTGATCTCATAGTGGTAAGTCCAGTATTTGCAAACAAACTCCCCCTCTGCTGGAAACCCAACTATTTTCAAAATTCTAATCTGTTTCCCAAACAGCTGCCCTCATCAGAACCTTTCAACTTCAGTGACCAGGTGTCAAGAGCATCTATTAATCATTTAGACAAAATTTTCTATCTGGACTTGGTTTTAACACTGGTTTAAGAACATATCTTGAGTGGCTGGAGTGATAGCACAGTGGGTAGGGCCTTTGCCTTGCATGCGGCCAACCAGAGTTTGAATTCCAGCATCCCATATGGTCCCCTGAGCACTGTCAGGAGTAATTTCCGAGTGCATGAGCCAGGAGTGACCCCTGTGCATTGCTGGTGTGACCCTCCCCCCGCCCCCCCCCAAAAAAGAACATATATCTTGAGTCATTCGACTCACTTGTCTGTTAGCGTAATGGAATAAATAATCAGCTCCAGGTGTTCCTGATCATTGGCTACATACTATTGACCACTGTGAGCTCTACAAACCATGCCAAAGAAAAACGTGCATCACAGAAACAGAGGAATATGGGGTTTAGTGGGTGAGAGAAGTAATGCATGTTGGTAGCTGGAGAATTCCCCTAGGGGAGATGAGAGAATAAATGCAGAACTCAGTATACCCACACGAAGGGTGTACAGGACAAAGCCTGCCAAGATTCAGTCTTAGAAATTACTTTCCCTCCTACTGACTTCTCAAAGAATAAATGGATAGATCCTCAAGGAGACGTGCGAAAACTGTGTGGGAATGAAATAACCTGGTAGCATTACCATCTTCCCTCCAAGAGACGAGTGATTTTGGAAAAGTTGATTAGTAGATAGCTCTGGTTTCCCTGAATAACAGAGATCAGAACAGTGGGCGAGGAACTGATGACAAGTTGTTAAGACTCAAACATTCACTTGCCAGTAAACTTTTCTGAAATGAAACTTTACACTCAGCTCTGAGAGAGAAAATACTCAGGGAAAGCTGCCAAGCTCCATGCACACAACTCTGACCCAGAGAACAGCACACACTGGAGGTGGAGAGGGATGCTCAGATCAGAATGAAGGAGCTGAGTGGGCAGAGAGACTTACCAGGTTAATCCCTGGGGACGTAGATAAATACCAGAGGAAAGTGTGTAACATTTGAAATGTTATCAGGAAGTAAATATGAGGCAGACAAATAATTTCTCAAACTGAGCAAATATCAAACACAGTACTAACAAAAATGAATGTCTTTGAAGACCCAAAGTTAGTGTACCATTTAGAAAAGGAAAACTGAAATATAAAATGGGAAGAGTATGTACTTAAAATTTTTAAATAGAGGGCAGAAATGCAAGCTCCATGGGCTGAGTGTGTGCCGTGCCTCGTATGCAGAAGGCCCGGTCTGCTACCCAGCATTGCCTGATGCCATGAGCAGAGCCGGGAGTAGCCCCCTGGACACCACTGGGTATGGTCCTAAATTAAAAAAAAAAAAAATCGAAATAACAGGGTCACGGGGATCACTCAAAAAGCTGGGTACAGGCTTTGTGCGTAGAGGCCCAAGTTTGATCCCCAGCACAGCAAGTCCCCCAATCTCAGCACCACCAGGTACAGCCCGAGTGGTCCCCCAGCTCTAGACAGTGAGGTTGCAGCCAGCCGAGGAGACGGGCTGGAGCACTAGGACAGCGAGTAGAGAGCTTGCCTTGCACGTGGCCAAAGCGGGTTCAAACGATCCCTGAGCACTGTCAGGAGTAATTCCTGAGTACAGAGCCAGGAGTCACCCCTGAGCATTGCCAGGTGGCCTCAAAACAAAACAAAATTAAAAACAAAAACGAACGGGGCAACAGCAAAGACACCGTCTAAAATATCAGGAAATCTATGATTTTGAGCATGGAAGCACAAGGAGAATACTCAACTGGGAGAAACAACAACTCCAGAGAACAGAAGTGCACTGCAGAGAGCGGCGGTGTATTTAACCAGTCTGAGAAACCCTGGCACAGACATCACAGCACTTAAAGACATCTGCTGGAAATCTAATTATGCTTTTAAAAATGTCTTGATGAGTTTTGTTGAAAATGTGTGCCTATGCATTAATGTTGATCAGTATTCTCGGTCCACAAACAACTGGCTGCTGGGGCCCAGGCATGGCAGAGAGTCCTGGGTTCCATCCCCGGTACCACGGGACCTCCGGTCACAGAGTTCCACTGGGAGGCCTCCTTCACCTCACAAAAAATACAAATAACCGGTTGCAACTGAATAGCCCATTCAGAAATAATTGGTATTTGTATACCAGCTACAGACTGGCTCTTTTTTGAGATCCTAACAAGATCAAAAGTGGAGTCTACAAACATGATTGCCACCCAATGCCTCTTTTGCAAACCACAACACCCAAAGGAGAGAGAGAGAACAGAGGGGAATGCCCTGCCACAGAGGCAGGGAGGGATGAGGAGGATGAGGGGTGGGAGGGATACTGGGATCCGTGGAGGTAGGAAATGGGCACTGGTGGAGGGATGGGTATTTGATCATTGTATAACTGAAACCCAAGCACAAAATTTGTAAGTCCACAACTGTACCTCAGGGTGTCTCACTAATAAAAATTTAAAAAAAAAAAAGTGGAGTCTAAATTACATGAATCTCTAGGCTTCTACTTCGATTTCTATTTACATTTTATTTTTTAGTTACACTTTAATACTTCACTTTCTGTTTTGGTTTTGGGCCCCACCTGGCGATACTCAGGGGTAATTCCTGACTCTGCACTCAAATAATTACTCCTGGTGATGCTAGGGGGACCGTATGGAATGCCTGGGATTGAACTCAGGTCAGCTGTGTGCCAGGGAAGCGCCTTGCCTGCTGGACTATCTCTCCAACCCCACAAGGTTTTTAAAAAAAACCTTACTGATGGGTCCAGAGAGACAGCACAATGGGTACAGCACTTGCCTTGAAAGCGGCCAACTTTGGTTTGATCTCCAGCATCCAGTATAGTCCCCCAAGCACCACCAGGAGTAATTACTGAGAGCAGAACTAGAAGTAACTCCTGAGCAATAATGGGTGTGCCCTCTGGACCCCCGCCAAAAAAATCTTTACTGAGAAACAGTGACTTACAGTGCTGTTAATGATGGTTTCATGCATATGTCATCCCCACACCACAGCCACCACGGTGCCTGCTTCCCTCCACCCAGTTCCCAAAAGCCCCTCCTTTTCAACAACCTCACCCCCCACCCCACACGAGTTGGTCCTGTGGAACAATTCTCTCACACACTGCTTTGAATTAGGAATCTAAACCAGATGTACTCTATCCTTATGCTCGAAGAACTCTACAATGTCCTGATATCAAATCACATTTAGAGTTGTTCGTTTGGGGGACATACAGCCCACTCAGTACTCAGTGAACTCTCCTGACTGTGCTTAGGGGACCAAGTTGTGCTGGTTTTCAAAAAGACTGGAAAAATTCTAAGACAAAAATATCACATGGCACCTCCCAAGCTCTTTAAGGAAAATTGTAGTCACTGTAAGAGTGTCTCCAACTTTTTATCTGGTTGGTCAGTCAGAAGAATTTTGACACTGCAGAAAGAATGACTACATTTGCTTAGAAGTGCCAAATAGGTGAGCTGATATTTAAGGCATTTGAATTACGCAGTGGATACTAGGTTTAGATATATTTATAGCAAAATCATGATTTCAGGGGCTGGAGAGATAGCTTAACAGGCCGAACACATGCTTTGCATGGAAGAGGTAAGGTTTGATCTCTGGAAATGCTTATGACCCCCTGAGCACAGAGCCAGAAGTGGCCTCACAGCACTGGGGGATGTGGCCAAAAACACAAAAGCAACCCAAATTAACGAGTTAACTGACCAAGGTGGGGCAGAACAATAGTACAACAGGCAGGGCACATGCCTTGAACTTGGCCAAACCAGTTTTGATTCCTGGCAAATATATGCAAGCCAGGAGTAAGCCTTAAGCACTAATGGATGTAGCCCCAAAATGAAAAACAAAATTAAAAGGAAAAAAAAGACTAACTAGGTTCTGAAGATCAAAGTTGGGTATTGGTTCAACATTTCTCTCAACTTTTGTAATCAAAATTGAGAAACTGTTCAAAGCAATTTATCCAATTTATTAACAATTTTAAATTTTATTTCTAATCATTACATTAAAATTCAGTATGTAAGAGTGACTCACCGGACATTTTCTGGTCTCAGTTTATCAAGAACCATTTCTATTAAGTCGCACCTAAATTCCTCTAGTAGATATTCAGCTGTGAGGACTTCTTCCAGGGGATAATACTTAAAAAAAAAAAAAAAAAGTAAAAATAAAATGCACAAGTCTACTATAAAGTACAACTTATTAATTAAAATAAATGTCTAACATATTAAATGTATTTTTACATTAGTCCCCTCCCCTTCAACTATAGTTCATTTTGTTTGGAATTTCTCTGAATTCTAAGCAATTTCCTAATTTCATATTTTCATTTTCTACACTTACAGAGAACTAAATGTTTCAGGGGAAAATATGAGTAATATTTTTGGCTCAAAACTGTGTATATATTAAAAGGCAGAAAATTTGAAAGTGAAATGCATCAACCTATAGGATTTTTAATATAAAATACATGCATTTTTGTAAACAGAATTTCCTCTCTAATTTCTGTGAATGAAATCAGATAGGCACTTAGAAAGCTACTGTGAGAGGAAAAACAAAGGCTTATACTTTTGGTTAGTGAAGAAAAATAATGTAGAAAATTCTTTTTAGCAATTTCCATTACACCAAGACTGACTCATTCATTTAACAGTTAATGGACTCTAATGAACAGGACACCAGGCACCGTCTGAGAAGTTGCTGTGGATACAACTGTTAATAAAACAGATGACGCGCCTGCTCTCTGTGGACTGCACATTCTGACCTGAAAGGAGGCAGGGGGTACATAAACAGATACTGTCACTACAGTGATTTGTATCATGAAGAAAATTAAAAACAGAACATCTCTCTGATGAAAATCCATTTGAGTAGAGATCCGAATAACAAGAACCTAGTCGTGTCAACAGGGAGGAAAAATTATTGCTGGTAGAGCCGACAGCAACCAGAAAGGTTTAGAGCAGACTTCCAAAGTGGGTGAGGCTCTTCCTCTTCGTCCCCAACGCTGTGCTGGTCTTCTTCCCCTCCCAGGTCAGTTAATCCACTAGTATTCAAACCCGGGACTTGGCTTTCTCCACTCAAGTGCCCCAGGCATTATCTAGATTCCGTGGATGAAATAAAAACTCAGTCTGTGCCCTCAACAGTAGAATGACCACAGCTGAAGACAGAATCAGTGAGCTGGAAGATCAGCTGCACCAAGCCAACAGGCAACAACAAACAATGACAAGAGACCTCAAAATAGCTCTAGAGCAAATCAGAGTCCTAGAAGATGATTCCAAGAAGAACATTAGAATCATTGGAGTACCAGAAGCTCAGGGAAACAATCCCAATGAAAAAGCCACGGTTAAACAAATCATTGCTGAAAAATTCCCAGAGCTGGACAATGCAGCCATTCAGATTCAAGGACCCTGAACAGTACCAGCTAAAAGAGATCCTAACAAAAACACTCCAAGACATATCATAGTTAGAATGATAGATGCTGCCGATAGACACAATACTACAAGCAGCAAGGTCAAAGAAGGAAATCATATACAAAGGAGCACCCCTTAGATTCATAGCAGACTTACCAGAGGAAACCCTCCAAGCCCGAAGACAATGGTGGGATATAGTGGAAAAACTCACTGAAATGAACACTTCACCAAGAATACTCTAACCAGCTAAACTCTCACTAAAACTCGAAGGAACTGTACACTATTTTCTAGATAAACAGCAGCTCAGGAATTTCATACTCAAAACCAAACCTAAAAGAAGGGCTAAAGGGGCTACTATATGACAAGACAAACCCTACAAGTACAACAGACCCTTACAGAAAGATGACACAAAACCCCATAACAATAATATCTCTCAACATCAACGGTCTTAATTCACCAATTAAGAGACACAGAGTGGTAAAATGGATTCAGAGACAGAACCCAACATTCTGCTGCCTACAAGAAACTCATCTGAACAGTAAGAGCAAACACAGACTCAAAGTTAAAGGATGGAAAACAATCCTGCAAGCAAACAGCTCCCTCAAAAAAGCTGGGGTGGCCATACTGGTATACGACAACATCAATTTCAGATTGAAAAAGATTAGAAGGGACAGCAAAGGCTATTTTCTATTCATCAAAGAATACATACAACAGGAAGAAATCACACTCTTAAATGTAGAGGGATCAGCTATATATTTAAAACAATTACTAACAGATTTTTTTTCCTTAAATTTTTATTAGTGAAACACCATGAGGTACAGTTGTAGACTTACAAATTTTTGTGCTTGGGTTTCAGTTATACAATGATCGAATCCCCATCCCTCCACCAGTACCCATTCTCCACCACCACCCGTCCCAGTATCCCTGCCACCTCCCTTCCCCTCATCTCCCATCCCACTCTACCACTGTGGCAGAGCATTCCCTTTTGTTATCTCTCTCCTTTTGAGTGCTGTGGTTTGCGAAAGAGATATTGAGTGGCAATATTGTTTGGATTATAGTCAACTCTCATCACGCATTTCCCATCCTGAGAGGAACCTCCCAACACCCTTTATTTGGTGCTCCCTTCTCTGTCTGAGCTGCCTTTTCCCCTAGCATGTGCGGTTGTCCTTAAAGCCATGGAGTAATCCGCCTGGTACTTATCTCGGCTATTCTTGGGTGTTAGTCTCCTATTTTGTTACTTTATGTTACCCAGATGAATGCAATCTTTCTATGTCTATCCCTCTCTTTCTGACTCATTTCACTTAGCATGATACTTTCCATGTAGTACCACTTGTATGTAAATTTCATGATTTCATCCTTTCTGACAGCTACATAGTATTCCATTGTGTAGATGTACCAAAGCTTCTTTAACCAGGTATGTGTTCTTGGGCACTCAGGTTTTTTCCAGATTCTACTGCTAACAGATTTTAAGGAAGACATTGCTAACAACACAATAGTAGCCGGAGACTTCAACATCAGCTTATCACCTCTGGGTAGATCAACAAGAACAAAATTCAGCAAAGAAACATTGGCTTTGAAAGAAGAAATAAGGGCTGGAGCAATAGCACAGCGGGTAGGGCGTTTGCCTTGCACGCAGCCGACCTAGGTTCGATTCCCAGCATCCCATATGGTCCCCCAAGCACCGCCAGGGGTAATTCCTGAGTGCATGAACCAGGAGTAACTCCTGTGCATCACCGGGTGTGACCCAAAAAGAAAAAAAAAAAAGAAAAAAGAAATGGGAGAGAGAGGGCTTATAGACCTATACAGGGCTTTACACGCCAAAAAGAAAGAATACACATTCTTCTTCAGTGCACACGGAACATTTTCCAAAATAGACCAGGTACTAGGACACAAAACATACCTCAATAGAATCAGGAAGATAGAAATAATATCAACAATCTATTCAGACCATGATGCACTGAGAATAGAAGCGAATCACACACAGACCACAGAGAACCAAATCAAATGCCTGGAAATTAAACAACTCAATGTTGAACAACGAATGGGTCAGAAGGAAGTCAAGGATGAAATCAAAAGATACCTGGAACCAAATGAGAATGAAGGCACAAGCTACCAGAACTTACGGGATGCAGCTAAAGCTGTGTTAAGGGGAAAATTTATAGCTCTGCAAGCATTTCTCAGGAAGGAAGAAAGGGCCCACATAAACAACTTGACTTCACAACTCAAGATCTTAGAAAAGGATCAACAAAAGGAGCCCAAATCAGGCAGAAGGAAAGAGATCATAAAACTAAGAGCAGAAATCAAAGACATGGAATCAAAAAAAAAAAAACAATCTGAAAGATCAATGAAACCAAGAGCTGGTTCTTGGAGAAAATAAATAAGATAGGTAAACCACTAGCAAGACTCACAAAGAAAGAGAGAGAGAGAGAACCCTAATAAACCGAATCAGAAGTGAGAAGGGGGATATCACAACAGAAACCAAAGAAATTCAAAAGATCATCAGAGACTACTTTGAAAGTCTGTATGCCACAAAACAAGAGAACCCAGAAGAAATGGATAAGTTCCTGGATTCCTATAATCTCCCAGGGCTGAATTAAGAAGATCTAGAGTACCTGAATAGACCTATTAACATCAAAGAAATCGAAACTGTAATGAAAAGTCTTCCCAAAAACAAAAGCGCAGGTCCAGATGGATTCACTAGTGAATTTTTCCAAATATTTAAATAGGACCTATTGCCAGTTCTTCTCAAGCTTTTCCAGGAAACTGGAGGAAACAGAAACTCTTCCAAACAGTTTCTATGAAGCCCATGTCTCTCTCTAATACCAAAAGGAAACAAAGACACCACAAGAAAAGAACTACAGGTCAATATCCCTGATAAACAGATGCAAAGACTCTCAACAAAATACTAGCAAATAGAATTCAACAACTCATCAAAAAGATCATACACCATGACCAAGTGGGATTCATCCCAGGGATGCAAGGGTGGTTTAACATTCGGAAATCGATCAACATAATCCATCATATCAACAAAAGAAAAGATAAAACCATATGATCATATCAACAGATGCAGAGAAAGCATTTGACAAGATCCAGCACCCATTTATGATGAAAACCCTCACCAAAATGGGTATAGAGGGGACTTTCTTCCATATAGTTAAAGTCATCTACCACAAGCCTACAGCAAGCATCATCCTCAATGGGGAAAAAACTGAGAGCCTTCCCCCTAAGATCAGGGACGAGTCAAGGATGCCCACTCTCTCCACTGCTGTTCAATATAGTACTGGAAGTACTTGCAATAGCAGTCAGGCAAGAAAAAGATATTAAGGCATCCAGGTAGGAAAGGAAGAAATCAAGCTCTCACTATTTGCAGATGATATGATACTATACTTAGAGAACCCTGAAACTTTCACCAAGAAACTCCGAGAAACAATAGCCTTGTATAGTAAAGTTGCAGGCTATAAAAATCAATACCCAAAAGTTCATGGCTTTCCTATACGCAAATAGTGAGAGAAAAGAAAGTGACATGAAAAAAACAATCCTGTTCACAATTGTACTCCAGAAAAATCAAGTACCTAGGAATCAGCTTAACTAAGGAAGTAAAGGACCTGTACAAAGAAAACTACAAAACGCTACTTCAGGAAATAAAAGAGGACATGAGGAAATGGAAAGATATCTCCTGCTCATGGATTGGGAGAATTAACATTATCAAAACGGCAATACTTCCCAAAGCACTGTACAAATTCAATGCAATCCCTATAACGATACCCATGACATTCTTCAAAGAAATGGAGCAAACTGTCCTGAAATTCATATGGAACAATAAGGCCCCACTTATAGCTAAAGCAATTCTTGGGAAAAAGAAAATGGGAGGAATCAACCTCCCTAACTTCAAACTCTACTACAAAGCAGTAATAATTAAAACAGCATGGTACTGGAACAAAGGCAGAGCTGCAGACCAATGGAAAGGGGTTGAATATACTGACATCTCCCCCCAAACATATGATCATCTAATCTTTGATAAGGGAGCAAGAAATGTGAAGTGGAGCAAGGAAAGACTAACAAATTGTGCTGGCAAAACTGGACGGCTAAATGCAAAAAAAAAATTGGCTCAGATCTCTGCCTAACACCATGTACTAAAGTAAGATCAAAGTGGATTAAAGACCTCAACATCAGACAGGAATCCATAAGGTACACTGAAGAAAAAATTGGCAAAACCCTCCATGACATTGAAGCTAATAGTATCTTCAAAGATGTCATGCCACTGGCCAAGCAAGTGAAAACAGAGATAGACAAATGGGACTATCTTAAATAAGAAGCTTCTGCACCTCCAAAGAAACAGTGACCAAAATACAAAGACAGTCTACAGAATGGAAAGGGATATTCACCCAATACTCATCCGACAAGGAGTTTATATCAAGGATATACAAAGTACTGACTGAACGCCACACGAAGAAAACATCCAACCCCATCAAAAAATGGGGTGACGAAATGAACAGAAACTTTCTCAAAGAAGAAATCCGAATGGCTACAAGGCACACGAGAAAATGCTCTACTTCATTAATCAACAGGGAGATGCAAATCAAAACAACAATGAGAAATCATCTCACACCACAGAGACTGGCCCACATCCAAAAGAACGAAAGCAACCAGTGTTGGCGCAGATGTGGCAAGAAAGGGACCCTCCTTCATTGCTGGTGGGAATGCAGACTGGTTCAGCCCTTTTGGAAAACAGTATGGACGACTCTCAAAAAAATTAGAAATTGAGTCCCATTTGACCCAGCAATACCACTCCTGGGAATGTATCCCAGAGAGGCAAAAAAGTATAGTCAAAGTGACATCTGCAGTTGTTTGTTCATTGTACAATAGCCAGAAACTGGAAGAAACCTGAATGCCCAAGAACAGATGACTGGTTAAAGAAACTTTGGTACATCTACACAATGAAGTACTATGTAGCTGTTAGAAAAGATGAAGTCATGAAATTTACATACAAGTGGTACTACATGGAAAGTATCATGCTAAGTGAAATGAGTCAGAAAGAGGGACAGACATAGAAAGATTGCATTCATCTGGGCAACATAAAGTAACACAATAGGAGACTAACACCCAAGAATAACCGAGATAAGTACCAGGAGGTTCACTCTATGTCTTGGAGGACAGCCACACATGATAGGGGAAATGGCAGCTCAGATAGAGAAGGGAGCATCAAATAAAGGGTGTTGGGAGGATCCTCCCAGGATGGGAGATGGATGCTGAAAGTAGACTACAGACCGAACATGATTGCCACTCAATGCCTCTTTTGCAAACCACGACACACAAAAGGAGAGAGAGAGAACAAGGGGGAATGCCCTGCCACAGAGGCGGGGGGGTCTGAGGGGGATACTGGGATCAGTGGTGGTGGAGAATGAGCACTGGTGGCGGGATGGGTACTGGATCATTGTATAACTGAAACCCAAGCACGAAAGTTTGTAAGTCTACAACTGTATCTCATGGTGTTTCACTAATAAAAATTGAAAAAAAAAAAAAAAAAAAACCAAAGGGGGTGAGACCACACCTTGGGGGTGCTGAAATGATGTGTGTGTGTGTGGGGGGGGGAGGGGGTAAAGCACAGCAATAACCTATGAGCAATGGAACAGTGGGGTGGAAGGAAACTTCTATTTGCTTGTTTAAAAAGTAGGCTTGCAGAAGTAGCTGAGTATTCCAGAAGAAGCTGAGTATTCTTTTTGCTTTTTGGGACACACCTGGCAATACTCAGGGTTTACTTCTGTCTCTATACTCAGTAATCAGTCCTGGTGGTGCTTAGGGGACCATACCTGAATGCATACCTGGATTGAACCCTGGTTGGCAGTATGCAAGGCAAAAGCCCTACCCCGAGTAATTTTCTTTCTGGAAAGGGGATAGCAAGGCCAAATATATTGGGAACCTCTGGTTTAAAAGAAGAGATAAAACTTAATACTTGGTGAGTAGGTACTTTATATACAGCTGGAGAAGAAGGGGTATGGGAGAGGGTAGACTGGGGAATGGTCAGAGAAATACACTGGAGTTGGATCACCAGGTAGAAAATTTGAGATTCTGGGGCTGGAGCAATAGCACAGCAGGTAGGGCATTTGCCTTGCATGGGGCCATCCCGGGTTTGATTCCCAGCACCCCATATGATCCCCTTAGCACTGCTAGGGGTAATTCCTGAGTGCAGAGCCAGGAGTAAACCCTGTCCATTGCCGGGTTTGACCCAAAAGGAAAAAAAAAAAATTGAGATTTCATTCCTACTCCAATGAAAAATCATTGAAGGACTTCACAAAGAAGTGAAGCAATCTGATTTTGGTTTTGGTTTTCAACAGATCATGAAGGACCACCCCCCCCCCCCCCAAAAAAAAGAAATACCATGGTGAAGCACAAGCACACATAGGAAAACTGAGAACCAAGGCACGAGATCATGGAATGATAGTTCACAGTGAGAGCAATAAAAATGAAGAAATGTTTATGATTCACTTTTTCATACGTAGCATATGACATATGGCAGAATATTTAAATCCAACAAGCAAAATGCCTATGTGTGGAGGGAAAATTTTAAGCACGAAAGAAAGACCAGAATGACAGTTCAATGGGCTGCATGTGAGCTCCGCATGCAAGAGGCCAGGTTGGATCCCCAGCACTGCATATTCCCCCGAGCACCATAGGAGCAACTGCCGAGCACAGAACCAGGAGCAGCTCTTGAGCACAGCTGGGTGGGGGTCTGACCCACTTCTGTCTCCCCACTCCCCAAAAGATTTAAAGCATTGACTGGACATTAAAATTTATCTGGTTACTACAAACTTAAAGTTTCCTACTTCAGTTTCAATTTTTATCATTCATATAGTTCTGAAAAGTCTGAGAAGGATATCACCGAACAGTGATCTATCTCTACATGTCAATGCATATAGTAAAATATAAACTTATTTTACTATACATGTCTGGCATATCGAATACTCTCGGTAGCTTGCCGGGCTCTCCGAGAGGGGTGGAGGAATCGAACTCGGGTCAGCCATGTTGGCCGCTTGTAAGGCGAACGCCCTACCCGCTGTGCTATCGCTCCAGCCCCGATATGCCAGACACAGTAACAACAAAGTCTCCAATGGAGACGTTACTGGGCCCGCTCGAGCAAATCGACGATCAACGGGAGGGCCTTTACCTTTACTATACATGTAATGTACAGGAAGAATATACACACACTTGTACACATGCAATGTATACTATACTGTCAACATATACAGTAAAATATATACTTACATGTAATATTCCTGCAATCTTAGAGGTATAGCCCCGTGGCTTCTCCTTATCTTTAAACCTAAAAGCAACGGCGTTCAAGTCCTAAATGAAAAGTTAGTCTAGTTAGATAGAAGTCAACCATTATTCAAAAATACTTTCTTTCCAGCGTATGATTTACACTAGACCTTTTTTTTTTTTTGCTTTTTGAGCCACACCCGGCGATGCTCAGGGGTTACTCCTGGCTTTGCACTCAGGAATTACTCCTGGCGGAGCTCAGGGTACCATATGGGATGTTGGGAATCGAACCTGGGTTGGCCATGTGTAAGGCAAACGCCCTACTCACTGTGCTATCACTTTAGTCCTACACTAGACTTTTTATTTATTTAACTATCACTTTCTGAAAAAGCAGCTATTTGACTTAGAAATATGTAAACATGAGGGAAAACAATATACTAGTCACAGTATTAGGAAAACCATGTGACGGAATCTGATATGCAATAATCAGAAGATGTTTCTGTTGATCTATTCACAAAATTGCACTTCATTACTGTCATAAATTTACCAAGTAGAGATCATACTTTTAAACTTTTAAACAGGTGAAGAGAATGCTCTCATCTTAAAATACATTTCATAACGTTAAAAGTCTTAAATATAGATATATTTTTAATTTCTTGAAAAAGAAGTTTAACAATTTGGAAAACAAATCTCTCTTTGGAAAACAAGAGGATACTAAATACAATACTGAAGTTTTTTGGATTTTGGGTTTTTTTGCAGTGCTAAGAACAGAAAGCAGGATCTCACAGATGTATGTACTCTATTCCCTTGCGTCATATCCTTGGTATAATCGTTCTTTTATGAACACACTCTTAAATAAAACCATCCCCCATTTTTCTCTGAGTATGCCACAAATTTTTATTAACAGCTCTAAAAATGACAGTTCATATATCTTCAGGTAGGGAGTAAAGTAAGCCCTGACAGATACAAATTCAAGAAACTGCTTGTTGGAAAAACAATTCTGTCCCTTCTTTTCCCCTCTAAAAAGGACTGCAATACTACCTTAATCCTTAACTGTAATCTAGGTAGCCAAGCAGACTAATACATCTACACCTAATCAAAAGTGGTTGTAAAACTTCAAGAGTTCAGATGGGGATGTGGGGGAGGAGGTTCCAAAGATTCACTGGGTCTTAATTCAAATCAAGTCTCGTGTTTATAAAAATCATAGTATTAGACTATTACCCAAGGACAACAGAAATGAGAGTCAGGAGAACTGGCCCACCACTGGAAGCTTGTGGCAAGTGTGGGAGAAGAGGGCAGTAAGGATTAAAAAAAAAAGGGGGGGGGGGATCATTATGATGATGATAGTTGGAAATGATCACTCTGGACAAGAACTGAATGATTAAAAAAAAAAAGGTGATGAGCTTTTGGTACCTTTTCTAACAAACCACAATGGAGGGAGAGGAGAGAGGAAGAGAGGAAGGAGGGAGGGGAAGGGGGGGAGAGCGAGAGCGAGAGCGAGAGAGAGAGAGAGAGAGAGAGAGAGCGAGAGAGAGAGGAAAAGCGAAAAGCAAAAGTGCCTGCCACAGAGGCCGACTTGGAAAAGTCTTGAATGAGGGAAACTGGGGATATTGATGGCGGAAAAAGTATACTGGTGAAGGTGTGAAACATTACACGACTGAAGCCCAATGGTGAACATTGTATATTTCACAATGATTAAGTCAAAAATTAATCCCCATGTATTTGTCCTTTGAAAATTTTCCATAAGAAAAATTTGATAAAACAAAAGTACCTTGCACTCTTGGAAAACCCATTCTTGCGGTCCTTCTGCACGTAACTTCTGAATGTATTGAAACATGTGCAAAATTATATCTTCAACATGCACTGGAAAAAAGGACACACTTGAAAACCATTCAGTTCTCATCTCCTCAAAGTAGTGAGCTCACCCCCACAAGGTAACATCGGGTAAGGGAAGGAGGAGTCCTCACCTCCTGATACCAGTGTTAGGGTCCCCCCAACACACAGGGCCCACCAGTCTTGGGGAATTGTCAGAGAGGAACGTTTGGGTAGTAGATGAGCAAATGGTAAGTATACATTTTATGAGTGCAACACACACGGTTAGTCATGAAAGAGGGAGAAATCATACATGAAACGTAGGTCAAGTAAGGTGCGACAAAAGTAATTGGATGGATTTATGAAGTAGCGCTTTACATTAAAGCCAGATTCACAGCATGAAAAACTTTTAGAGAGTAAACACAAAAAGTCAGTTTTCATGCCCAGTCAAAAGGGCAATACTTACATAATCCTTCCTCAGTCAAGTCCACATTAATGATAAAGAACATGAATCCTCGGGCTCCTTCCTTCTGCCCACCAACAAGAGTATTTACCCAGCCTGTGACAGCCAAAGGAAATCATAGTGACTGCATGTGTGTCTTCATTTAAAACAGAATTTAAAAATAAACCAAAAAATCACACTAAGCCCCTGAGCACTTAACTATTAGGCCTGTAGCACCGGGCTGAGATTAGCAGGGAGTGGCCCCCACCCCGGGAGGTAGAAAATTCCTGGCACCAGAGGCCCTGAGCTCCATCCCTGGACTGCATAGTCCCTGAGCACCTCCAGGACAGTGCTGCGTGGGTAGCAGGGGCTGGGAGCCTCCAGGGAGGGGCTCCACACGGCACCTGGAGCTGCCCAGACTTACCCTTTGCTTTAAGTTCTGATAACAGACTCCCAGGGCCTTCATGTCCGATGAGGTGACCAAGATAATGGCCAGGATTTGATTTGTAGTATTTCTGAAGGTCAGGTATGGGGAATGTCACATAAAGATTCCTAATATCCTTAATGGGTACTACTTTGTAAAGTTGCTGGAAAGGGGGAAAAAAGAAAAAGAAATTAGAGGATTAGCTATATAAATTTGTTTTTGTGTTTTTGTTTCTTTGTGCCACACCTGACAATGCACAGGACTTACTCCTGGCTCTGTTCTCAGGAATCACTCCTGGCAGTGCTCAGGGAGCCATCTGGAATGCCAGGGATTGAATCCGGGTTGGCTGCATCTTACTCACTGTAGTATCATTCCAGCCTCTAGCTACTGAATTAATTATTTACAAACTATGAAGAAAAATAGTTTGTAAATACAACTTCTACTGAATAAATTATTTACAGAAACTATGAAAATGACTTTCATGAAAAAACCCCAAATTCAGGAATCAACCGCCAAATAAAATGATAATCACCACAAAGATATAAACTTGCCATTTTTTAGTGGAATTCCATTGTGTTTGGTATGCAGTTTATTTGTGGTGCCCTAGACCATTCAGCCTAATATTTCTTGAAGCTTCTATTTTGATGCTGGATAATAGCTTCTATATCAGCTACCAAAAACCATCACTACCAAAAACCAAGCATGCAAATGTCAGAACTTACCAGTATCTTTCTGGTGACACCTGAACAAATGAAACATCTGGTTTTCTTATGCCAATGTCAAAAACTCTATTCAGAATATTACTAAAAACTGTGGGCTGGCCCCATTCGCCCTCTCCTCTCTGGAAAGAAATGTGGCGGCCGCATGGGAGCCTTGTGGACAGCAGGTTTGAGCTGGGGGTCGGGGGTGGCAGGGACCTCATGGGAAGGGGGCGCGTTCCGGTCCGTCCTTCACACCCTACCGAGGTCACCAGTTGCCCCCCACGAGCGGCTCTCCGGCACAGCCATGACTCCAGAGCACAGAAACCAATCTCTTAACTATCTAACTTTTAATAGAAATACTTCCAGGGTTAATAAGTAAAATAGCAGAAATCCAAAACCGCACGGCCGCAAATGTACAACATCATTTAACTCTTAAACCCAGCTGTAGAAAGCAAATCATTTCACAACGCTTTTTCAGCATGTCTGATTTGGGGGGGGGGGGGGGGGGTCGTAAACTCTAAATAATAATGGTGCATCCTTTATCGAAACAATGAATCTAGTCAAAGTAGATAGTGTTAACTAGAATTCATCTGCCTCACAGGAATTGTGAGGGGTGGGAGGTGGGGTTTTATATTGGGGTTTGTGGTAAAAAATAAGTATTGGTAAAAGGAAATGTGTTTGATATTCACATGACTGAGACCTAAATCTGAAAGCTCTGTAACTTTTCCCACAGTGATTCAATAAATTAAAAAAAAAAACAAACTGTGGGCTGGAAAGAGAACCCAAAGGGCTAAGCACATGCTCGGCATGCAGAAGACTTGGGTCCCATCCCTGATGTAGCCCCTGAAAATATCAGGTGTGACCACCCCAACCTCTCCCTTTGCAACAAAAAAATCACAGAATGAAGAAAACTTCAAAATTCTTCCATCTACTCTTTGGTAAGTAGCCAAGTGTTATGAGTTTAAATTAAAATGCTGCCTTGCAAGTGTGAGACCAAGAGTTCGATCTCCAGTGCCACCTGGAGCAGCTCTGCTGTTCTGGGGTACCACGGCATGGGTGCAATCTCCAGGGCACTGCAGCCAGGCCTGAGTCCCCTGGCAAGCAGGGGCACCACAATGAAAGGAGTGGAATCACAGGAAGCACCACAACCAAGCACGGGCTCGACACCAGGTCCTCCCAGCAAAAACAATGGAAAAAGGGGAAAAAAAAAATCCAGAAAAAGATATTCTTACCTTAAGATGCTCTTCCTGGAAAGGGTGCTCAGGAAATTCTGGCAGTGGAACATTTTTGTTCTCTACTTCGGAAAATAACTTTACCACTAAGTCTGTTAGGTCGTCTAAAGATTCTACAAGAAAACAGACAAAACTTCAATTATAACACAACCATTCAGCCAAGTATTTCTTGGCATTTTCAAAACTTAGGATTTTGTGTTGTGTGTGTGTGTGATCAACATGACTTAAACTTTATACAATATTATGTGTAAATTAAATATATCAATTAAACTGGAGCGGGGACAGAACACTCTGATGGAACTGGGGTAATAGTACAATGGTAAAGCACTTGTTTTGCATGCAGCTGACCCCAGTCTGATCCTCAGCACTGTATACTGTCACCTGAACACAGTGCTGGGAAGTCCCTGAGCACCACCAAACTGTCACCTCTAAAATGAACAAAAAATAATCCTTTATTTTCTGAACACTCTCAGGACTATTTAAAAGAAAAGTCACTGAACCATCAGTTCACCTCAATTTCTGTAAGAGAGCCTGATGATCACAATTCTTTCGCAGGGCCTACCATTATATGAATCTGTATCACAATGTGCTAAGTTCACTCAGAGATTAGTAATTCCTGACAGAACTATATGACTGTTGAAGTACAGTTCTATATCCTCACCTACCATATTCTTTGATAAGAATCCCAATTGTCAGGGCTAGGTGATAATGCATCCTTTCGCATGCAGGAGGTCTGGGTTCCCAAGCCTGGCACTGCAGGGCCCTGCAGAAACAGGAGCTGAAGTAGCCCCTGAGCACGGCCAATGCAGCCCAAATCCCAACACCCACACCCTATCAAAAAAGGTGTGCTTGTAAGGTTTAAAGATGCAACTACAAATATTTAGCACGCACTGTTCAGTTACAAGAACTGGAAAAGAACTAAACACTGACATATGCGAAGATGTTATAAAATGTCAATATAAGAAGAATTTCATCGAACCCCTAATGGAGGAGAGATCTGCATCTACTAATACAAACATATCTAAAAACTCCATCAACAGGAGCATATAAAACAATGATGTAGTAGAATCCCTTTGAGGAAGGGGCCTCCCAAGTGGCACTCACAGGGACTGGGAGGCACTCCTAGTGACACCTGATTGGCTGGACATGCAGAAAGTGGGACTGAGGATGTGAGCTGCTCAGGCCCTGGGTGCAGGGGACCACCAATAGGCCTACTATCCCTGGTCATGCCTGTGAGGCCAGGTGGTAGCAGGGTGTGAAACCAGAATGGGGTGCTAGCGATCTGCCCGAACATCTGTACTATCTCCCCAGCCCTTCATTCATGTCTTAACAGGCATTCATTTAAGTTAGTAGGTGAGCAAAATTCTATTTGGGGAAAAGAATAAGAAACAATGGGAGGTGAGGTGGTCATAGCATGGGAGAAGGAAGAACCTGATTTCCATTTCTTTGTTTTGTTTTGGGAACACGCCTGGTGATGCAGAGTTACTCCTGGCTCTGCTCTCAGGAATTACACCAGGCAGTGCTCAGGGGACCATATGGGATGCCAGGGATCAAACCTGGGTTGGCCACAAGCAAGGCAAGTGCCCTACTTGCCTGTATTATCTCTCCAGTCCTTGATTTCCATTTTTCTATTTCTTTACTGTGTGGGAAATAATTTTTTCATGTATACATTATCATTATCCGTCTAAAAGAAAAAAGCAAAGCGATAATTTTTTTATAACACCTTGATTCTATCTTCCGAAACACAGGTGTATATATAAAGGAATAAATAATCACTCGATAGTCAAGAATCAGGCATGTGGATCAGGGCCACAGAGATAGTGCAGAGGGTAGAATGTTTGCTTTGCACTGGACCCATATTCAACCCCTAGTATCCCATATGGTGCCTGAGCATTGCCAGGAGTAAATCCTAAGGGCAGAACCAGGAATAACCCCTGAACATTGTTAAGTTTTTTAACATCAGATATTGAAATATTAAAAGTATGAGCTTTGGGGCTGGAGAGGCAGAAGAGCAGGTGAGGTGCTGGCTTTGCATGCAGTTGACCTAGGTTCCATCTCCGCCATCTCATATGGTCCCCTGAGCACCGCCACAAGTAATTACTGAGTGCAGAACCAAGAATAACTCCTGGATACCACCAAGTATGGCCTCCAAAAGTTGTTGAGATGTTGTGGTTTACAATGCCGTTAGTAATGGTTTATCATGAACATAATTCTGACACCACACTGCATCACAAGTGTACCCACCTCTCTCCCTGCCAAGGACCCCAATGCCCCTCCCTTACAACCCCTCACCAACGATTTTTTTGTGAACCAGTTATATTGTCTTTGGATCTTTGGGGCTATCCTGGTATGTATCTTTAAATCCCTCATATAGATAGATCTAGTTTTTTTCTTAAGATCTCCTAAACCCCGCTTTCAGATATTCTCCAATTCAATCATTTTCAAACACCTCTTTTAAGAGGCTACATCTTAAATACTTCTTTTATATTCTCAAGAAGCTCAAGTATAAGGGGTTTAAGTTTAGTATTAAGAGCATTTTGCCTTGTGTGATACCTGAAAACACACACAAAACCACACAAACACACGCACAGAGCTCAAATGGAAAACTTCAATTACACAACTCTGAAAAACTTCAGTCTTACCTCGACCTAAAACACAAATGGCCATTAAGTTGGATGAATAATAAGTAGAATGGAATTTCAGTAGCTCTTGTCTCACATCAATGCCTTCTTGGTTTGGTCTAGTCTCAAGAGTATATTTGTTACCTGAAAAGGAAGAAAACATTTTTTAGAAAAGGCAATATATAATGTTTCACAAATACTGACACTGCTCTAGGGTGAACTTAAATGCTGGGGTTCAAACTTATCATATATAATAAGTAGTCAAATATGCTTGAATGTAAACAGGATATGGAAGACAGAATAGTATGCTCTAGTAACACTATAAACGATGGTTGTCCCTCAGGAACTTAAAACACTTTATAAAATTCAGAGTTCTTAAAATCCCTACGAGATTGTGGATAAGCACTAATAAGGAAAAAAATGAGATCCATATGGCCTCTCTTCACACTTATTTTAATTTTTAAGTCCCTAAGTGCTCCATAATTAATTGAACAGAGTCACTGAGGGATCTTTTGGAACTTGCCAAGTTACTTGTGGAAAGGAAAGAACTATTCTTGGATGAAGCATTAAATTTGTGATGTAAGTTCTCACAGATTTGACTTAGACTGGTAAAAATAGCATGAAACGTTATTTTTATGAGATCTCTTTAAGAAATTTAACAATGAAAAAAGTAAAGTATGTCAAAAGCCGAAAGTCAAGGTTCAATAGCCAGCACATCAGGTGGGATCCAAATAGCCCAAACAAAACATAATAAAAAGACAAAGTGCAAATAGACTCTCTTCAGCACCTTTTCTAATAAAGCACTTGCAAGTTTAGGGACTGGGAAGTGGATTTCCGTTGATCAGTACCCTCTTCCAAAGTGCCACTGTGATTAAGAACATACGATTCTAGCGTATGTTCAACCTGAGCGCCAACAGATCTTAGCAGAGCCACAGGGCCAGGCGCTGGCACTGAGCCTTTGACCGAATTGGCTGGGTTGGCTGAGTCTCACAGGAATGGCCACTGGGGCCTCCTGAGCACTGTTTGGGAGACTCCTACCCACCCCCAATTTTAGACCCCTCACTTAATGGGGAAAGCGAAGAGATTTGAGAGCCAACCCCTGGTACTGTTCAGGGGCTAGAACTGACTCAGTGCTCAGGGATTATCCTGGCAGAGCTCAGGGGACCACACACAGTGCTAGGGATAGAACCAGGGTCAGCTACATACAAGGCAAGAGTCTTACCCCTGGTACAGATTCTAATGTAATTTATTATTGTTCTGTCTTACATCTGAAGAGATAAAACTATTAGCAGAACAAATTCTGGGCTTTACCGTTTGGAGGATTCACACCCAAGAGTGCAAAACGTGCTCTAGTCCTTCCTTTGCGAAATCTCCCTGGTCTCAAAGGTTTGCTCAAGTTTCTCCTCCTTCCTCCACCACCCTAGTCCGCTGGCACTGAGTTTACACGTAGATACACAGGTAGGCAGACGTATACACAGATATAGATGTCAGTACATAGCTATTTATTTGTGGTGCACAGACTCAAGGCAGGGCCTCATGCAGGCAAAATAAGCCTCTACCCCCAGAATTACAGCCTGGCCCCCTGATGAACCAGCACAGGAAGAATTTTGTCACTAAACTGGATTATCTACAGAAAGCCACCAGATGGCATCCTCAAACCCACGGTCAACTGCACTGGAACAAAGATTTATGGCCCAGATGCTCGAATCAATAGAACTGGTGGAGAGTGTGTGAGAACCGACTTAGCAAGCACTCGCCAAAAATTTGTTTTTGGGCCACACCAGTGATGCTCAGGCGTTACTCCTGGCTTGGCATTCAGGAGACTTACTCCTGGCAGTGCTCAGGAGACCAAATGGGATGCCGGGGACAGAAGCTGGGTCAGCCATGTGCAAGGCAAATACCCTACCCACTATGGCTCCAGTCCCCTCAGCAACACTTTTTGAGACACAGTCATTGAATGTACTTACATTTCCTAGAGGCAGCCTGCTGGTAAGTTCCCAGGTCTTTAATTAGTACTCTGTTGGGTTTTTTTTTTTTTTTTTACTACAGATCCAGTACAATGCCAGAACTGTTGTAATCTGCAACATCCTCTCACCTTACTTGTTTCCAGGTGTTATTCCAAAAACCTGAGTTTACAAATCCTGGGGGTGACGAGGGTGGGGGAAACTTTCTGCTGGATAATGTTTTAACATTTTCTCTACTGGGCCAGAGAGACAGTACAATGGGCAGGGTGTTTGCTTGGCACACAGCAGACTGGGAGGACAGTCAGTTCTCAATACACTGCAGGGACTACGGACACTAGGTAGGAATGGACCAGGGTCGGGTTTGCTATTCACCCTACCGACCCTCTCACAAGACAGATCCTCCAGAGAGTCTACAAAAACAGAAAGTGGAGCCGGAGAGACAGCACAGCAGAGTTGGGAAAGCAGCTGCCTTGTGTGAGGCTGACTGGGGTTCGAGCCCCACCACCCATATGGTCCCCTGACCCAACCAGGAGCGATCCCTGAGCACAGAGCCAGGAATAAGTCCTGCTGGGTAGGGTTCCCCCCTCCCCCCACCAAAGAAAAGAAAAGTGAAACAGGATAGAACAGAGCTTGGGGATTAGGCCTAAGAATTTCAGAGCACACGCGCCTCCTGGTGGGATCCAAGGCAGGAGGACACAGGCACGGGAGACTCTCCTCTAATCGGTGTCAGCTTTCTCTCTTCCCTTTCTCCCTGTCCCCTTTCCTTCCCATCCCACTGCTGGGGCCACACCCAGTGGTGCTTGGGGGACACACATGGTGCTGAGGACAGAGCAGGGGGTCAGCCACATACAAGGCTAGTGCCCTAACCTGGTACTATCTCTCCTGTCCCAAGGCTGCTTCTTTAGGGGACCGTCACAGTGCTTTGCTATTATCTCCTTTTGGGAAAAGCAAATGAGTAAACCGGTTGCAGAATCTAGCATAATTATTTGCAGCATTACATAAACACAATACTACTGGGGTTAGAACTGCACGAGGGAGTCCTGGCATCTGAGCCCTCCGGACACTGGCTGCACACGGTAGGGAAGAAAGCTCTGTCAAGGGTCCAGACAACTTGCCTCCACTTAAGAACCACGTGTGGCCTGAAGAAACAGCCGGGAGCTCAGAGCACCTGCCTCACAAGCCTGTAGGCACGAATCCAAAGCCCTGGTATCCTACACGTGCTGAGTGGCCCAGGCAGCTCTGCTGTCTGCTATTTCTGGCACTGCACATGACTCCTGGCCACCCTGTCCCAGCAAGCATGACCGTAACTTGTGTCCTCAACTAAGAACGAGCACCCCACCAAGCGTGTGCGCGAGCACAACTACATGAGCGCAAAACTCCGTGAGTCCATGGTTGATTGTGCAAGCACTGCAGCCTCCTGTCCGCCCTGACAAGCACCATGGCTGTTATTAAAGCTCTGTGTGAGCGCTCCAGTCAGGTCTGGGCACGACAGCCGGTCTTGCCACCATCACAAAGGGAGACCGGAGAGGAAGGGGATTTGACCAAAGGAAGGGAGGAAGACAGGAAGGGAGGGAGGAAGCAGAGGAGGAAGGGAGGAAGAAAGAACTGTTTCCTTTTCACAGTGCCAGAAATAAAAACCTGGCCCTCCCAAAGCATGGACTCTACACCTTTGAGCTCCTCTTCCAGTCCCCCAAAAGTGTCTAGGAAGGAAGGAAGGAAGGAAGGAAGGAAGGAAGGAAGGAAGGAAGGAAGGAAGGAAGGAAGGAAGGAAGGAAGGAAGGAAGGAAGGAAGGAAGGAAGGAAGGGAGGAAGATAGGAAGGAGGGAGGGAGAGAGGGAGGGAGGGAGGGAGGGAGGGAGGGAGGGAGGGAGGGAGGGAGGGAGGGAGGACCCATGTGTAAATTGACCCAATCAATGTAAATATGGCTGGGATAACAAATACCACTTTAGTTACTGACACACTGTAGGATAACACTCTTTTGTCCTTCCTCAGGTAGCTTAGGTTTGTCAGGTCACACCCATCTAAGAACACTGAACTTGTATTGTAAGCAATGTCCTTTCTGTGTGGACACAGGAAGACAGTTAATATGGAAGACAGTTAATATTATGCTTTGCAACTTGGGAGTTGATTGACTCTGAATAATATTTACTCCTGGGCATCTGATTTCTTGACTCAGTTGCCCTTAGTTCCTAGCACCCCAAAAGCAGGGTCCTGACGAGGGACTGAATGGACCCAGGGCAAGCGGTGAGCTACCCTGGCATCAAAATGAGCCAGGCCAAAGAGCCACGATACTCAACTATAAGTTGAGGGCATGATCATGGACAAATGCTGTCATGATCCAAAAGTAAGTAACGACGAGACTAGGACCCTGCTGGGGCTAGGAAGATTAACCTGGCCTGAGGACTGCGGAATGTATAGTGAGATGTTCTCAGGAAGAACCAAACTAAATTTATATCTCTTACTGTGCTCACACAGAATGACATTGCTAGAAATATTAGAAGTAGATTTATTACAACTATTTAAGTAGATTACTAACTGAGGGAAGAACACACCCTTGTTGGGATCCCACCCTTGGGCGGATCTCCTAGTAATCTGAGGTAATCTCTGCAGATGAGATTTTATCCTTGAGTTAATCTCCTGGAGGAGTGGTCTTACCTCTCTTTGTTGATTCGTCAGTATTCAACCCACCTTTATGTTACCGCCTTATGTGACTGCTATATAAACTAAGACGTAAGCTCGGAAAGGGGGTCAGAAGCGAGAGAGCTCGGGCTCCAGAGATCCAGAGTCAGAGCCAGAAGGAGAGAGGTTCCAAGACTGGGGCCCAGGAGAGAAGGAGGCAGAGAAAGACAGGAGTGAAGAGGATTGGAATAAACTACTATTGATATAGACCGGCCTGGCCCCTGTTTTTTTCTTCCATCTGCCCTTGGCCAACAGCCGTTCCGATCCAGGCCACACACAGAGGCTCAAGGGCACCGAACGCAGGCGGTGAGAAAGTGCCGTCCAGTGAGCCCGTGAACACACAACCTTCGGCGTGGTAAGATTTTACAACACATTATCCTAATCACCTGCTAATTTAGCTAAATAATTTGTCACATTTATTTTATTTTTGGTTTTGGGGCCACACCTGGCAAAGCTCAGGGGACCATATAAGATGCCGGGGACTGAACCTGGACTGGCCGT